CATAGGTAAAGGCACGACGCCTACCCGTCGCGACACACAGACACGACGCGCGCCGCCATTAAACTAATGTGCCCGTCGCCCGTGTGAACTTGACGGTCCCCTTCTGAGCCTAGATTGATTGGAAAAATGTCTTCCTTTTACCGTTTTGTTTGTCCCGACCCTCGTCACCAGGCGCTATGTACAGTTTGAGTTCTGGCGCCCGGTTTAGGGACCACCTAAATTAAAGCCGTGCGTCCTAGTAAAATTTAATGCGTAATCTAGACAAGGCGGCCCATATAACGTGCGTGGTGGAGTGGGAAGTGAGGTTGGACTCCCAAAGGAGTCGAGTCTCGACTTGTAACTACTGAACGTGGGTCTACTCGTACGGTGGTTCATAGACTTCATCGTAGTGTCTCGGTAGTGTGACCAAAATTACCTTACAAAAGGAAAAACCGTCCCCGTACAAATCAAAAAGAAACTCCCTTTTACAAAGAACTTCCGACAACCAACCGACACCTTTTTACATTAGGTTCTTTACTGAGGCCTTTTGACGTCTATCTCGGTATTCTTTAACTTACGTGACTAAAATAATAATGACAACAAAATATCCGTTAGTAAATTTTCGAAACAATCAAGGGGGGGTCTCAAATTATACAACGTTATTCCTAACAAAGTTATTCAAAACGTGATAAGTGTAACTTGGTCAGGCGGGAGCTGATCCTGGGTAAAAAAATTAAAAACCCGGGGTGACACATAACTCAAACTGGTGGGGACGCAATTACTTATAGGGGGGGCAGTCGCGCTCACTCACTACTCAACCATATTCTGGAGCAGCCAATTATTACCTAATACTGCTTTACAATGGCTAGGACAGGCAGTTTTACTGCCTGTTGCTTTTCAGATTACGGGTGGTGACGACCCCTCTTTTCTTTGTTCCGGTATAAACCCGGGTAAAAGCGATGTACTCCGCCTCTTTTTTCGCTAACGTAACAAAATAGTCTTCCCTTCGTACACCGGTATTGTGTCGACCATTTTTGTGGGTGTTGGACTGGACTATGAGAGACGGTTCCGTACATATGGTTAAGAAGATATAGACTAAGTTTGTTGATGGACACCCACACAAGTTCCGTTTATAGTCCTAGTCCTATACTGAGGTAATCGGATGCGGATATACACATCTTATATTCAAGTAACTGAGCTGTTATACACAGCCGTACTGTTATACTAAACCCAAAACCGCGGAACTAGAACCCGTGGGGGAGACGTCCCTCTCCCCTCGCACGAAACTCTAGTCTAGACCCGGGCAAACGGTCTACATGACCACGCTCATCCTGGCCTACCGCAGAGTTGCCCTACAGCGAACACAAACATAGAGAATAGTCCAACTGTAAGAAGAAATATATGAATCACAAGGATTAATATAGCTTAAAAAAATTTCTGGTTGACACGTTTCCTAGCCGTCTTTCCTTTAGCAGAGGAAAGAGGGGGAGAACCCTTCTCGGGTCCCTCTGAACTAGACGGACTAAAACTACGCGAGCGCGTGAGACTAGACAGTCGAACCACCTCCGCGCAGCAAGCTCGACTACCAGTGGTCCCTTGCGGCTTCGAGCGTATAATAGGAACAAGACGTGATGAACCCTGAGTCAAATGAAAACTTCTACGTCCGCATGCGTCTCATCGGCGGACAAACAAAAGTATGACGATTCACAACCTCGAGAATAATAGTCTCTCACATATACGATCAGTCGTCACTGTAAGTCCACCCCCACCTCAAATATGAGGTACCTGTCAAAACTGAATGCTCCGTCCCTCCGCGTTCCCAGATGCGATGTTACAACGGACCCCTCCCTTTTTTCTCGGTGTCCGCTCTTATTGGTTTTCCCGTTAGGTACGTTGGATACGCGGTCCTTCAGAAGAAAACGCGAAAACACCGTTGATGTCGCCGTGAATGTCCGGAGCCTATACATGATGTAGCAGAGGTCGCGAAAGCTCGTCCCGTCCGTTACTTTGTAAAACCGGTTGTCGTTTAGTAAATATAATTGTACATTAAAAAGAAACCTTATGAAGTCAGGTTTCCCTACATAACAATAAATTCACTATATACACATGTGTATCCGGCCATATGTTAGTAAGTATTCAGTATTTGTCGCATGTAAACTAAATTAATATTTTAAAAAAACGGACTATCAGAGATGAAACGTTATCTTTTGATTCCGAATTTTCGGACTATAAGGCGCACCTGAATATAAGCCGCAGCAGCTAAGTTGAATGATGTGTACATATATAAGCCGCACTGGACTATAAGCCGCAGGTGTTTTTAATTTTTAATTACCATATGTAAGGGTTCGTGCACAGAGGGGATTGTCGGGAAAGAGATGGCTGTTTGAGGAAGCTCCCATTTATTAACATTTCAACAAACAAGTTGCATATTTGCATAACGTATTCAAGTGTTACCATTTAGTGCAATAGTAACTACAGAACATGTACTGTGCTGTGTAAACTGTACTGTATCACATAGCGTTTCAGACACACAAACTTAAACGGTGCGCTTCCAGCGCACGTTTAACACCTTTGCACAAACTGTCTCGCTCTCATAATGTCTCTCGTACCAATCTCGGTTGCACTTTTACTTTTGCGCGCTACCTGTCTCACTCTTTTCCGGCCTCCAGCTTTTCCTGCTGGAGCCCGCCGCTTAAAGGTGGGGGTCGCGGACCGGCCATAGAGCCCATAGAGTTAAAGGTGGTGGACTGTAACCTGTAAAATCCATAGATTTAGGAGGTCCCCTAGTGGCGGTTAGCTGTAAAAATCGAAAAATGGGGGAAAAGGCGCGGCTTATAGTCCGAAAATTACGGTATATTTCGTCTCCTCCTTTTTCGTCAACGAAAGTAAAGAGAAATTTTGGCAACGTTTTTATTTAGTAAATTACATTTTCATCTCGTCCTTTTTCGTCAATGATATTGCATGTTGATATCGTTATTGTTTACTGACGTCGGTGCGGTCTCGTCTTAGTCATGGAAAAAAAGGTTGTTGACGAACATATTTCGTCATAGTTTTAGTCAACGAAATGAACACTAGATGTAGGTCATGCAGTGTGAAAAGTAAACAAAAGAAAATGCTAAGGAAATTGATGAAGTCCACTAAACTATTCAGATGGGGCACCCCAAAATTACAATATAGAAAATATTTGTACATTACTTTGGTGCTATCTGACTGATTTTACTATCGTTTCAGACCAAAGAGCTCCAGATCAAGCGTCAGTTCCAGGAAACCTGTAAGATCCAGACCCGGCAGTACAAAGCGCTGAGGAACCACCTGCTGGAGAGCACTCCCAAATCCGACCACAAGGCCGTCCTCAAACGCCTCAAAGAGGAACAAACACGTAAGCTGGCCATCCTGGCCGAGCAGTACGACCACTCCATCAACGACATGCTGTCCACACAGGCTGTGAGTAAGGCAAGGAACCTCCGCGCACCGCCCACTGCAACACCAACACAGACACACACTGCAACAACACATATTTATCATATTAACACAATAAAAACAAAGTAGTATTTTAGGACATCTACAAAGAAAATCACCACCTTTTTTATTTAGCTGGATATACACTATAGCATTTTACAGAAGTGATTCAAAGCATAAAAAAACATTTATAAAAGCTACAAAAAAAGGGTAGAGTGCAGTGTAACAAAATTAGTAATTATTTAGTTGTAAAGAATAATTCATTGTCATTCAACAAAATGGAGAAAAAATAGAATCTTTGAAAAACAAAAAATCACAACTAAATGATGTGGGTTATTAATACAGTATAAATCTTGAACAAAAGACACTTAATATATTTAATCCTAGAGACAAAGCTATTATTTCAATAACTATTTAATTTATTGGCAGCGATATTGTTAATTGTTTTAATTATGTAAATCATTAATAACCAAAAATAACCTTTTTTCATTATTGTATATCATTTGTAATTTTTGGTCGGGCAAAAATACTTTTCTTTTTAATTTAGGCAATTCTTTATTTTGTGAAATAAACCTAAACCTTGAACAAAAAAAAAGTTCAGCAGATCAATGATTATTGGTTTTCATTTAGTTTAGTATAATTCTTTATTTAAAACACTGAATAACACACTCATATAAACAAACCGTCCAGCTGTCCTTATCATCATAAAGCCCCTCCGGTGCTGACGCTCGTCCCGTTTTGTCCCCTCAGCTGCGCCTGGATGAGACGCAGGAGGCGGAGTACCAGGTGCTAAGGATGCAGCTGCAGCAGGAGCTGGAGCTGCTGAACGCCTACCAGAGCAAGATCAAGATCCACACGGACACGCAGCACGAGAGGGAGGTCAAGGACCTGGAGCAGAGGGTGTCCATCCGCAGAGCGCTGCTCGAGCAACGGGTACGTTACAATGCCTCTTCAAACAATACACCAAGCAGCTTTTATTGTTTTATGTCGGCCAGTCTTTTTTAACCACAACACCATATGAGTTTCATAAGGATCCATTTGTGTTCATCGTTGTTACTTCGTTAAGAAAAAAACTCACAAATGAACCAAACAAAGCCATTTGACTTCCGTAGATATCCGTAATGATAAGAAAAACAATCAGAAACATCTAAAGCCAAACATACATGAGTGAAAAACGTACAAGTATATACATGCATTTTACGTAAAATGTACGAAAAAAAAAAATCATCAAAAAATGTACATGAAAAAACTCAGAAATGTAGACAAACGTTAAAAAATCTACATGTACAAATTTACGTGAAAAAAATCTCAAATCCATAAAGGAAAAACATACAATAGATAACAAAAAGGAAAACTGTGTAATTACCCTTGTTCAGATCGAGGAGGAGATGCTGTCCCTGCAGAACGAGCGCTCGGAGCGGATCCGGACTCTGCTGGAGCGGCAGGCGCACGAGATCGAGGCGTTCGACTCGGAGAGCATGCGGCTGGGCTTCAGCAACATGGCGCTCAGCGGGATCCCTGCCGAGGCCTACAACCAGGGCTACCCCACCCCCAGCCCCTCCTCGGGCTCCAGCGGCTGGCCCTCGCGGCCTGTCCCGCGCTCCGGCAGCCACTGGTCCCACAGCGTGCAGAACTCGGTGTCCACGCCCTCCTGGCGCAGTCAGAACCACGGTGGGGGGGCCTTCAGCCGCGCAGAGTCCGTCGCCTCGTCACACGGCCTCGGCAGGGACAGTGAGATGTACAAGAGCGGCAGCCGGGGTCACTCCTCCTCGTCCTCCTCTTCCTCCCACCCCTCCCATCACCCCTCCCACCACCACCACCACCACCACCAGCAGCAGCAGCAGCAGCAGCAGCAGCAACAACTGCAAATGCAACAACAACAACAACAGCAACAGCAGCAGCAGCAGCACTACCTTCCCCAGCACTACCAGCACCACCAGAGCACGCCGCAGCTGTACCGCGACCCCCATGAGAGCAGGGAGCGCGAGCGGCCCCGGGAGTGGGGGGGAGGAGCCAGCAGCCACTACCCGCACCACTCCCAGGGACACCACCACCACCACCACCTCGCCTCCCATGCCTCCTCCCAGTCTCTGGCTCTGCTGCCTCCCCCGCCACCGCCTCCTCCAATTTCCCTGTCTTCCTCCTCTCCTCCGTCCTCCGCCTCGTCCTCTTCGTCGTCACAAGGAGGATACGGCGGTGGCGGCGGCCTGAGCATCAGGGGCCCGGGCCTCATGGCGCTCAGGAACAGCCCCCAGCCCCTGAGGAGGACGGCGTCCGGAGGGCCGGGGGGAGGCGGGGGGAGCGACGGCGGGCTCAGCCGGAGCACGTCAGTCACTTCTCACATTTCTAACGGCTCCCACCTCTCTTACTCCTGATTCTCTGATCTGAGCTCTGCTTCTTTTTAAAAGAGAGCTTTAGGTTTTTGACATATTTTAAGATGCTTCTTAGAGCCGGAGCAAAGTTAATACTTAAAAAACAAAGAAATACCCCGATTTTAAATGTAAATTATTTCCTTTCCTGATGTGTACAGGGACTTAAAAGTGTTCCTGATGCACAAAGAAAGGATGCCTTTTTTATTTAGTCACTACAGAAGTATTAAAATCACTGCTAACCTCTTCCAAACATTATTAATGAGTTGCACAGGAGGTGTCGGAACTAAACAATCCCAACAAATGAAACACAACGTCCACATGTGAAAATTGAGCCATGTGCCCCAATATGAACAAGACAAAGTATATCTCAAAAAACAGACCAGAATTTGTGCATTTGTTCATTGTGCGCCACATTGAATCTGTTGCACGGTAACGGTTGAGCTGCAGAGAGCGGGTTTAAAGTCCAGCAGGTCTACCTTCTGGTTTTCAGGCGACTGTTGTGGAGCTTCCACTTGGCTAGCGGTGCTTTAAAAACCACTGTAACTATGTAAATAACGGTAAATTGTAAACCAAGTTTTTTTCTTTTCTTTTTAAAAAAAAAAAGTTACATACGTTCAGCGAGGCGGGCGGAGGGCTCGACCAAGGGAAGATTCCTAGAAAACACAGTTCTTTTTGTGTGTAGTGATAAATAAGGTTCTGTAAATGACAATTTAAAGAAACACTGCCACCTGTTTGTTGGGCTGACCCAGGACAACTTTACCACTGCCCTTAAGTCCCCTTAAAGGGGCGGTCTGCCTGTTTGGGAACTTTGGTGTTTTTTTTTATCGCTTATAAGGAACATTGTAGGTATATAGAAATGACAGAAATTACCCTTACCCAGGAGGGGAGGGGGACAATATTCTGAAATAATTTAGAATTTACAAGATTTAAGTGTTACTTTAAGAGAGAAAAAAAACTCATCAATGTACAAGAAAAAAGGTCATCATTTTACTGGATAAAACTCAAATTTATGAGAAAAACTACTATCTTTTAAGTTGTTAATTTACAGAATAAATTCTCTAGGATTAAAGTCTTACATTTACTATATAAATAGTTCAAAATGTAAGGGAAAAAAACAGATTCATATCAAATTGACAATAAACATTTGGATACTCAGATTTATTTTACTTCAATTAGGCTTTTTCAGTGCAAATTAATGTCTATAAACCAAGACAATTACTTGATTTTTAAACGAATTTTTAAAATTATAATTATACCACTTACACAATCATTTACATTTTAAAAAGCAAATCATAAAATGTCCCGAAATGTCTGACTGCTCCTTTAAAGGGACGTTGCCAGAGAGTATTTTTGAGTGAGCCAAGCACTAAATCTCTCTGTGTGTGTGTGTGTGTGTGTGTGTGTGTGTGTGTGTGTGTGTGTGTGTGTGTGTCGTGTGTGTGTGTGTGTGTGTGTGTGTGTGTGTGTGTGTGTGTGTGTGTGTGTGTGTGTGTGTGTGTGTGTGTGTGTGTGTGTGTGTGTGTGTGTGTGTGTGTGTGTGTGTGTCCTCCACCTGTTGTTTCCCCTTTCTTCAGTCTGCTCTGCATCTGTCGATAGATGTACATGTTGCATTACAAATAAATTAGTTACAGTTACAGTGCATGGATCTTGTGTACAGACGTCATTTGTATGGATAACGTGCACACTACCTATTTATATAAATGCGTATAAATAAATGTAAGATACCTGTAAATGTAGCAGGTATATACTGAAGATTGTTCACTGTCCAAACACTTTGACTTGCATTGTACTTAGCAGTGTACATAAAGCACTAACTGAGACTGTGTTAGAGTAATAATAATGATGTACGTGTTGTTTTAGACAAATAGACGCTATCATTATTATTACCTCTACTGCAGCTGTAATATTTATGTTGTATGCTCATTTTTAACCACTAGGTGGGGAAATAGCGCAATTTTACTGTGATAGAGCTATAAAAAAAAAGAAAAAATATTAATGTTTCTAAGGACTACCTTTCCCAGCATTCCTTTGGGCAGGCCTGAGTTCCAATTTTGACCTTTTATTTTTTTGAGCCAGTATTAAAGTGTGGAAAGCCCACAGTGGAGCTGAGTAATTTTCATAATCTTTCAGACTATTTCATGACGTTCGGTGCCATGTTTTTATTTCTATTATTATTTTCCAGCTCATAAAACACTGTAACCTGAAAAATATTTCGCCACAGTGTTCAATATTTAGTAATATAAATACGCATTATGACATGAATGGTAATATGAAAATACATTGTGTCAAATATATATATTAAGTTCTCCAGTTTGTGGAGAACATGTTTACACTTATCTCATTATCTTAAGTGTTATTTTATTAATATGACAAGTAATGAGTTTAGTTTAAATAAGAACATTCACAAATATTTGTTAATTTCTTTATATTTTACATCAAAGATAAGTTTTATCAGATATTACTTTAATGTCCTATACAAAATGTTTTTTCGTGTAAAATATATAAAGAATTATTATGAATGATAATGACTTGTTGTGCTGTAATTGCTTATTGATCAGATATTGAACACTTTGTGGAGCTTTATTTGCAGGACTTTTCTGGACAAACAGCTCATAATTTGATTTTGCACGGCGTGAATGGGTAGAAAAATCATCGGGTCACTTCCTGCTGCGGCGGGAACTAAATCAGCGGACTTCCTGCCAACATGGCGTCTGCAGGAGGCCGGCCTCAGTGTGATCTGATGCTGTCTGTCGCTGTCACGTCTACCTCATTTGCACTGATAGTAAAAGAATGTTTGGGCGGACTTCAAATAATACTTCTTTTTTTTTTTTATGCAGACTTTGTATTATTGCTTCAATATTTCAGTTCCTGTATGTGTGCAACTGTTAGATAGGAAATGCAGAAGGAGGGGTTGTAAAACAGTCGAAGCTGGGAAATGTTTCTAAATGTCATCTTTACAAGCTGGACTTTTAACACTAAAATATGTTCAGGTGGAGAAAACAAACTCATCCCACATGTTGTGTTGATGGAGATGACTCCCTCAAAAAAAAAAAAAACTCAAGAAAATGTTTGTGAGATTTCATTTTGCCAACTTTTATTTTTATTTTTTAAATGCATTGTTTTGTAAAGATGCTTATCATTCCGGAGATGCTTTTATGTATAATGCTGCACTCAGAATACATCTCCTGCAGAGAGACTAGAGGTCAATTCTTCCCTTTTCTATTGTTGAGTTTACTGACATCAGGATTTCTGTGTTTTCATCTCCTCCAAATGAAAGGAACATTTTGGGAAATGTGCAGGTTTGCTGTCAGATCAGTCATTATTTTCATAATGTCAATTTATTTGACAAAAGAAAACAATGAAATGTTAAAATGTCTTGTTTCGTCCGAATAGAAGTCCAAAAGCTCTAAATATTAGGTTTAAAAGATGTAAATTCAACTGTTTTTAAAATGGGAAGACACTGCTAGTTCCAGACTGATGGCAAACAAGCACATTTCCCATAAAGCCGTGCTGTTATAACTTTAATTCATCCATAGGTTTACTTCATTTTTCATGTGGTTCTATATTTTCCCTGATGCAGTTGTATATGTTTCTGTGGGACAAAGTCGCCTCCTCCACAGGAACCCCCCCCCCTCTGTTTGTGGCCTGCAGGAAGATAACTGACAGGAAGGATGAAGATGATGATGAACATGAGTCTGATGGATGTGTGATGGATGGATTTCAATCTGGTTTTTACAGCTGGAGGTCGAGTTTAACATGTTCAGGTTCAAAATGTTGAGACATTAGTTGTACAGAAACGTAACGGAAAATACATTTGGAGAAATAAATGAACAAAAACAGAAGTGTCTCTTTGTTTTTATTTATGGGGTCTTTAACTGGTGCAAGAAGAAACATATTTGTGTCATAATGCAAGAGATTTTTGATATATACTTTATTCCAATGTTCTTGTTTGACCTTTCTTTGGTCTGCTCATCATGCTTTGTCTTGGTAATGATTTGTCTTTCACTTAAACTTTTCATTACTTTTGATTTGTCCTATTTTCCCTATGTACTTTATCCTCAAACTAACTAACAATCTGAAAATAGTTAAACAAAAACATGCCATAATGTAAAAAATATTTATAAATTCAAAACCATTATTTTGACGAAACTAAGTAATAATGGTAAGCACCTAAGTAGAAACGTACAAATAAATAATTCAAATAAGGAACAAAGTGGAAACTGATTATTTTCCAGACTAAATAAATTAAATGACGTTTTTTCAATATGTCGTGATATATTGTTTAAGTGTACTACCATTTCTTTATTCGCGTATATCTTTGTCTAAAATGTCTTATCTTGAAGGAAATGAACTTCCGGTGACTTAAAACGTTATTAAAGGGGAGGCGCGTGCTGCACGTTGTTGGCTGCTTCCCATGACGTCAAAATATAAACCAACCAACCAGAGAAGCCGTGAAGTCACTCTAAAATTTTCACAGTAAAGGCCTTCATTGAAAATGATCCTTAACTTCTTAATGTATGAAAGGAAGCGTACTTTAAAAAATATTAAAATGTACAATACTGTGACTTTTATAACTAAAAACCATGATCCAAACATTTTTAATTACAAATTTATTATATATGTTAGTATTCATTCTTTGATCAATTGTTAAGTGTTGTTTTCAGTCAGTATGTATTTTCTTTATCAAACTTTACAAAAAAAACAACTCGACAACCAATCATTATTTCAGAGGCTTGTTATTTTTGCTTTTAAAATGGATGACTGACTTGTCTTCACTAAATGAACCATTATGAAGCTTTTATTCTGAAATGTATCCGGAAGTGGTGTTTCTGTTGTTGATTGACGTTTAGCTGCTGTGAGGAAGTCATCGTTCAACTAGCATCCTGTCGCTTTGAGGGAGCTTCTCTTTCAAATAGGAGTTATAATACGAAGCTAACAGAGACATAACACGACACAAACATCAACAATGGAGCAAGAAAATATTTTCTACTTCGTTCCCAATTTAATTGGTGAGTATTTTACTGTTTTCACCGTTTACTGTAGCTAGTTTAGCGTTAGCCTACATACAGGGGATGATGCTGGAAGTCACACCAAAAGTCCATTCAAAGGGCCACAGATAGAAAGATCAAACATTATTCATCCATATATGTATCTTTGTATCTATCTATTACACTGAATTCATGCATTTGTTTTCTAGTTCTTGCTTTGTTTATTGTGACGTATTTTTCTCCAGGCCTCTAAAATCCTAAAAGCAAAGTATCCCAATAAAGATAAATCCCTCTTGGTTTATTCTGTAATATTGTACGAAAACAGATAATGTAAAAAAAAAGTGCATTTAAATGTTTTTAAAAATAAGTAAGTCTATTTACTTCATATGCTGCTGGATAGTTTAGTTCGTAATACATAAAGCTACTGATTAGTACATCGACAGAATCATTTTGATAAATGTTAAATTGTATTTGTTCCTGCACTTATGTCTTTAAATACTGTTTCCGGCGACCTTGAGAGCCCTGAAAGGCGACTATATCAATCAAATGCATTCTTATGTTCAGCCTCGGAAATATAGAGTTTTTTTTATGATTCTGTTTCTTTCAAAGGAATTCTCTTTTATTAGGTTTTGGACTAACAACATCGAAGCGAACAACACCCTAGCCCCCATCAAACACTACTCTATTAATATAGAGTAGTAAAAACCACAACAGTTTCCTCTATTGTAGTGGAGTATTTAATATAGCATAACAATTATTATTACTCAAGTCCAAAAACGAATGATACTTGAATGATCCTATCTGCTAAACAGCATGTCATTAATGCATAATTTTTGATCCAATAATACAAAACAATAGAAATTGACCATTTTACATAATAAGAACTATTATATTTGGCATTTTAAGTACATTTGTGGCATTAACACCCTTTTGTTGGTTTAATCCTTCCATCACTGATGTTAATTCTAGATAGCTAAGAAAAGTTTCTGTCCTCTGTAAATAATAAAACACATACATCAGGGCTTTGTTATGATTTAGTTTGTATTTGCTTGCTTTTAAGTTTAGTCTTGATGTTATTGGTAACAAAGGCATGTCCAATTCCTTGAGCTTTAAATAAAGTTTGATTCAAAACAAGTTTTCAATGCAATTATGTCGCTCATACTTTTATGTAATGGAATGATGCTTTGTTGTTTTCTACTCTAATATATATGAATAAAGTGCTGCTGAGTCTGTGTAACCCTTCTAATGTTTCATATCTGATGTAGGTTGTATTCTGTGCTTCTGTACGCACTGTCATTGTGAAACAGAAGAGCTCACAGCTGTGTTTGTGCTTCAGGTTACGCCCGCATTGCGCTGGCGTTCATCTCCTTCCTCCTGATGCCCTGCTGCCCCTGGCCCGCCGTCTTCTGCTACCTGCTCAGCGCCCTGCTGGACGCCTTCGACGGCCACGCTGCGCGGGCCCTCAACCAGTGTAAGTGCAGGGGGGATTTGTACCTATCTAAGAAAAAGTAGATGTGTTGTGGTAATGTCTCTAAGAAAAGTCCACATCATGAAATGTATGACTTGTTTAAAGCTTTAAAGAGTTGTCCGTACCGTTGTTCTTATAATCAGAGGTGGGACGTAGTGGAGTACAAATACTTTGTTACTGTACTTAAGTAGATGTTTCTGGTATCAGTACTTTACTTTAATTTGTACTCCTTACATTATTAACTCTTAATACCTGCCCTTTCTACTTCTTACATTTTCAAAATAGGCTGGTTACTTTAGTTTGAATCTGTGTTGGGTGGCGTGATCATTATTATTTTGAGTCATTGAGCGCCTATTTCAACCTAGTGTCATACAGAAAACACAATCTGTGTATATATGACATTAACAGTTACTATTTGAAATATAAGTTCTTTAATGTTCTATCAATATAACGTTAGGTCCAGTTATCAGAGCAACTATAAAACAGTTTGAAGTTATGGCTACTTTTTTTAAATACATTTAAAACCTCAAACTTCTTTACTTTTACTTGAGTAAAGAAGTTTAATGAGTGCTTCAACTTTTCCCAGAGTATTTTTAAACAAACAGAGTGAAGGACGAGTGTACTTTTGCCATCTCTGCTTATAATAATGAATCTCATACATAACATTAAATAAAGTGTCAAGCACACATGAATAAAATAAAAGTCTTTGTAAGACCACATCCTAGCTAAAATCATCATTATAAAAGTATTGAAGTAGCTGCCACTAGTAACTATATTCAATTGTAAAAAAAAGTGAAATTTTACAGCAGTGTGAGTACAGTCAATTAAAAGCATGACAGTTAGCAGCTAAACTGTGACCACCACAAGCATGAGACTGCAGGGCCGGGTGCAAAACACAAGGCATGAAAATAAAAATTGAGATTAATGAGATCAATCACTTTCCAGCTGATGATGGCCTTATTGATATACTGTGTTTTAATACCATTTCCACTCATATGAAAAGATGTAGGCACATTTTCCTGGCAGATTATTTGCAACGTTTTGATATAAGTGTTAGAAAACTCCCTTATTCTTTGAGATTAAACACATGATTTTAGGACAAAAACCTTTTAGGATTTTAAATGTTTGTTATTTTTCTGCCACACATGCACACTCTGTTCTTATTTATAAATATGTAATGAATTGAGTTGCTGATGTTTGAATAGTTTCTGATCCTATCATCATGTATTTGTCACTGCGCTCTCTCAGCCACTAAGTTCGGGGCGATGATGGACATGCTGACGGACCGCTGTGCCACCATGTGTCTGCTGGTCAACCTGTCGCTGCTCTACCCCTCCTACACCTTCCTGTTTCAGATCAGCATGTGTGTGGACATCGCCAGCCACTGGCTGCACCTGCACAGGTACACCAGCCAAGGATGGTATAGTGGTGGTATGAAAATGGCTTTCTGTCAAACACCTTGATAGCTCTCTTGAACAGCTGTTCTATGGGTTTCAGGTTTGTGGCACAAGCAAACGACCAGTTTGTGAAACAGTATTCAATGTGGGATAGAATCATACAGTGGAGGTATGACTTTGCAGCATTGACAGTTAAGAAGGGTCTAATTTGTTTAAAGTTTTGCAAGTTGAATTTAATGGTATTGGATTCTTTCTTAATATGTTTCTTAAAAGTCAAGTTTGAGTCCAGTATGACTCCAAGATACTTGAAGTGGGGGACTAGTTCTATATTTATGTATTTGCATTTAACTTTAAGCAAATGTTGACCAGNGAATTTAATGGTATTGGATTCTTTCTTAATATGTTTCTTAAAAGTCAAGTTTGAGTCCAGTATGACTCCAAGATACTTGAAGTGGGAGACTAGTTCTAATTCTGCTCCGTTTAAAAACACGTTGGATCCTTTGATTTTGACTGGTCGTTTACTGAACATCATGCATACTGTTTTTTTTTACCTACAACTGTAAGCAAATGTTGTTCAGCCAGTGTTGAACCTTGTCCAAAGCATTTGAGAGACAGGATGAGATAATTTCAGTGTTTTCCCCCTGAATAAAGATGACCGCATCATCGGCATACATTTGCACATTCAACTCAGGACATACATTAGGCAAGTCATTAATGTACAGAGAAAACAGTAATGGTCCAAGAATGGAACCTTGTGGAACCCCAACAGGGTTCACAAGGTAAGGGGATTTGGCACCGTTGACCAAAACACACTGTTTTCTGTTTGATAACTAAGACTTAAACTAATGTACTGAATCTGCCGAAATGAAATAAGTCGGCTTTGTAAGGGAGCATTTTGGTGGTCAAACAGTGTCAAAAGCCTTCCTGAGATCAAGGAAGACAGCACTTACATATGGGCTCGTGTCCAACATACATTTAACCTTTTCCACAAAGACACAGTTAGCTGTCTCAGTGGAGTGGTGAGCACGAAAACCAAACTGCATTGGGTGGAATGGAGCGAAACCTTTATCTAAATGTTTGGTGATTAGTTTTGACACCCATTTCTCAGCTATCTTAGAGACACAGGGGAAGATGCTGATTAGTCTATAATTGGACATCATTGCATTATACCCCGATTTAAAGATCGGTGTCACCGTGGCCACCTTCCAGGATGATGGAACTTCCCTCGTGCTGATAGATTGATTTACTAGCATAGTAATTGGTTTTATGAGACCGTCAATATTTGTCTTTATAAAGTTGGTTTCTAAATCATCTGCATCCCTAAACTTAGAACCTCTTAACCCTAAGAATATATTTTTTACCTCAGCCTCTGTGATTTCCTCCAGGACAAAAACTGGATGTGTATCCACAGTCAGGTGAGACCTCAGATGGCGGGAAGAGCTTTGTGATGTCCAAAGCACTATTTAAGAAACACTCATTTAGAGAGCTAGCCAACACTGCAGGGTCTTTTATCAGGGCATCATTGATTTTTAATTCTAGAGCATTATTTTCCTGTTTGGTATGTTTACCTAATAGTTTATTTAGGATTTGCCAAAGGTTTTTATCGTTACCTTTCGCACCTTCAATTATATTGATGAAAAAGTTAGCTTTGGCCTGTCTTATTGTTTGTGTTACATTGTTACGAGCATGAGTGAATTTCTGCCTGTCAGTGGATAGTCCGGATTTCAAGCTCTGCTTTAATAGGTGGTCTCTAGATTTCATTTGATTCCTGCATTGTAGATTCAGCCAGGGAAGATGATGTTCCTTCCTATCCCTAAGGCACCCTCTCCTTGAGAAGGAAGACTTTGTATCATTCATTTGAGACATTTTCTTCATCCTTAACACGAGTTATAATATTTCAAGAAATTGATTATATAAAGTGATTTTAATGAAGAATCACAATTTAACGCTTTTTGGGGGGTATTATCTCCCAACAGTTGCGTTCGTCACACATTGAAGGACTCTCGAAAGGTGGAAATGTGTTTTTAAAATATTTTTGGCTATGATAACATATTTAATTGTGCTGTTTTTAGAAAGTTGAACACGCTTTTCAGGGTGTGTGGTTCAGAGGGAATATGCTGCTCATCATCTTTTATCCTTTCATCGTTTTTATTTTCTCAGCTCAACGATAAAAGGATCATCCAGTCACAAGACAATCGACCTCTCTGGAAACCCCATCCTCCGGGTCTACTACACGTCCAAGGTGAAACACACACACACACACACACACACACACACACACACACACACACACACACACACCCCCCCCCGTACTGTACATCATGCCCTCATTAATCAGATTACTGTCACTGTCTTCTCTCTGGCATCAGTGCAGAAACCCTTCTCCCGTCTCCAGCTCCTAACATACTAATTCATCATGTCTCCTGTTTCACCCCCCCTGGCTCCCGTACACTCTTTTAGATTTATATTAAGATTCTATTAATGGCTCACAAAGCCCTGAGAGGCCTCGCTCTAATTATTTTTACATCGTTTTTTCCGAACTTGATAATGGAGGTAGCTAAGGTGTGAGTTTTCCACAGCGGGCCTGGAGCACAGTTAGATGATATGGCTGCTAAAAAAAGATGAAAATTAACTTTAGACTTTGACTTGATTTGATTAGGGACAATACATGAGACGATTGATCAAATATACTCCATTCAAATTCATTTCTGACCCACTTGCCCATCCAGGTAGATGAAACTAAAACACTTACATTTAACCTGGAAAAGTGTATTTATTTGTCATTTCATTTTTTACCTTCTCTTTTTTCATGCATTTCGTTTTTGAAGTTTAGTTCGTTTTTATCCTCTTTGTGTTTAAAATGTGATCGTTTTTTTTATTGTATAGCACTTCTGAACTGTTATTTATTAGATTCTATACAGATCTTGTTTATTATTATTATTATTATATTTTTAAAATCTATGAATGTAAAGAGTGACAGTGATGTGTGTGTGTGTGTGTGTGTTGCAGCCCGTACTGTTTGTGATGTGCGCCGGGAACGAGCTCTTCTTCTGTCTGCTCTACATCCTGCATCACATCGAGGAGCCTGCAGGTAACGAACCTCCTCCTCTACGTACATTTACTAAAGTACCACATGACAAATGTGAGGTACTTGGCTATTTTCTTTTCATGCAACTTTCTACTTTTAGTGCACTGCATTTCTCACCGCTTTAGTCACTTTACAGATGTTAGGCATAAAAGATTATTCACCTTTTGTGGTTTTGTCACAGCATCTTTTTTATCAATTTTCTCCAATAAGGAAATATGTAATATTTACTCTTTATATTAATATTTTTGGTGTTTTATTTTAATGAGGCCCTATTATTCTTCTTTCCTGTAGTGTGTTAAATAGGTTTGTGTGCATGTAAATGGTCTGCAAAGACTAAAATCCCTGTGTTCCCTCTAGAGGGAGTCTCTCTGCATTACCTTGAAAAGTGCTTTAGAAATGAAATGATTCTTAATGTAGTATAAACGTGCTGTGTGTGCTCAGGCTGGCTGTACGGGCTGCAGGCTCTCTGCGGGGTCATCTGTCTGTTGAAGACCGGCATCAGCGTGGTGCACCTCGTCACCGCCTCGCAGAACATGGCCGCCCTCGACACTGCCGAGCGAGAGGCCAACAGGAAGTCACAGTGAGACAAAGAGAGAGTGAGAGCTTCAGCTGCATGTCCACCACCGTTTCTATTTATCTTTTGTTATTTTAAGGGTTTGTGCACATAAATAAGACGTGAAACTGCACTTGTTTTGTTAGACGACTTCAGGAAGGAGGAACGTTTTATGACCAAATATCTCAACTTAAAATGGGATTCATTTTTACAGACAACCAATCAGAATCAAGAGAATCAGAATTCAGTTCATTGCAAAATAGGTCTACTCATACAAGGAATTTGTTATGGTGAATAATAGTGCATACATACAACGCAGTGAAAGAAATGTAGTTTTAAAATATACTGCTATTACAAATGATTGTAAAAACTATTAGAAAATAGTGTGTTAACATTTTATAAATATACAAAAAAGGAAATATAATATAATAGTGGACTGTGAAAAAAACAAGTTTATACTGCCAATTTATTTTACAATCGTACAGTGTTAATAGGTTTTAAATATATATAAAAATATAATGTATTGTAAAAGAAGATTTTTATCAACATCACTGTTGTCGGATTATTAGGGCCTTTGTAGTAAAAAAGTTATAAATGAAGCTGTGGTCAATGCTTTAATTTACAAAATCAGATTCCCTTATTTTTGAGAAAAAAATGACACATTTTGAGGCGAAACCATTTTTCTGTGATTACTAAATAAAATAAATCTGAAAAATAGTAAATATTTTTATTTATTTTTGTCCTACTTTTGATCAGAAAGGATCAAATGTTTACCAAATAAACAATGGTTCGTCACGTACTTGTCTATTTGAACCAACTCAAAATAATGTAATTTCAACAAGCATTTATTCACATTTTCATTTGATACATTTGGTTAAAATGTGCACTACATTTGGATAGAGTCCTAGCTCCGTCCCAACCACACATCCATTAAAACAAACCGTCCACAACTTTGTGGAAAACAAATGTACCTTTTTGTTCTGAATTATTTAGTTTTTATTGTTAATCTTCATGATCTTTCAAGATGGAACTGAATCCCTAAAATCTACGACAGACCAAAAAACTGAAGCTTTTGTTCACTTGATGCATCATCTTGTTCTTGTTACGTAGAAAATATTTCTTTTTTGAAACAGAAAGCAGCTTGTTTTATTACAAAGCACTGAGCCAGGGAGTGCTTAGATATTCCTTGTGTGACCTCCGAGCCATATTGTGTTGCTTTTATTAGAGATTCCTGCAGATATTTTGGTGTTGATTAAATGGTGATAGTCGCACTAGGGAAAGTTAATCAGTTTGCGCTTATTTGACATTTATGATGTTTTTGTTGGTGGTAGAAGAGCCGTGTTTCCTTTTTGACATAGAAACATAGATAGTTATGCAGGTCATAAGTTATTTCTGACGTTAAGAGCACCAAGTATTCTGATTTTAACTTTTTAAAGAAGTCACTGACCATGCGTACATTTACTGCTGTAAAGCCTTTGTTTCGATGCTGAATGTGTGTGTTTGTGTGTTGGAATATAAATGTTTGTTTTTGATGGAACTCATTATGCAGAAAGTATTATTCTAAAATAAAAATGTTTATTGATCATATGCCAAGTTTAATATTATATATACAGATTTAAAAGTAGGAACAACATTTGATGGATATTTGGTTTGAAGTGAAGGCGTTTTGAGTTCACTGTAAAAATAAAGACAATGAAACCCAGACTTTAGTTTTTTTTTCTTACCTTCCAGATTCATGTAGGTGAAGTTTCAAAATCATCGCTTTTATTTATTTTTCTATTGTGGTTGTTTTTTCTTTTTAATGGGGTTTGGTGTTATCCTCTTCAGAATGGAAGTCTGCTCAGACTTAGGTGGTAAAACATTTTTGGCACTAAGATACTTCCTGCTGAATGAGGAGCCCTCATTTTTGTCATTGCTTCATACTGAATGTAAAAAGTGTGTATAGATTTTTGGATGAATTTGGTGTAATTCACTCAGGTTGTTAAAAAAAAGAGTGAAAGGTTTCCTTTTTTAATAATAAAATATGTTGTGGTGGAGGCATGCTGAATTGGTGAGTGCTTGCTTGCCATAAAGTGGAAATCGATTAGTAGCCATTAGTCTTATGGTTTTGAAAAACAAGCAACATTTTAAAATGAAGTTTGGTGAAATCTACTTCTTGCTGTATTGGATGCATGCCAAATGTACAAGTTCTTCTCAATTAATTGAATAAAATCAATGTTCCTGCACATTATGGTTAATATAATGTGATTTAAAGCAGGCCTTCATGACATTGGTGTAGCCGTGTCAACATCAGGTTAGAATCCAGCTGTTGCACTTGTGTTGCATCGTTACCTTTAAGAAGGATAAAGCCCTGTTTTAGCTAAACCAGACACCATCTTGGCTAACAGAGGTTCCGGGGACCGAGCGTGTTTGTTTTAGAAGCACTTTTTTTTTTCTTTAAGCATAAACGGGAGGAATGAACGGCGAAGCGGGTTCTTATAAATGTTGGATTTCATTATTTGTCGGCCTACCGTGAAGTGGCGGCGGGGGCGGCTGTGGCGGCGGCGGGGGCGAGAGGGACTGGACGAGAGCAGCCTGAGCCGGGGTCCGTGAGGAGGGTGGGTGCATACACAAAATACTTTCCCTTTAAAGCGGAGAGGGACAGAGGGGGTGAAGGAGAGATAAAAAAAGAAAAGGAAGAAAGACCGAGAGGGAGGGTGGGCGAGAGAGAGGGAGCGAGAGATTTGAAAAAAAGAGAAAGATGTCATCCTTTCGATTGAAACACCGAGGCGGAGCCATGGACCGCGGCCGACCAGGAGCTCTCTAGTTAGGGGTGGAGCTGTACGCAACGCCGAGGCTTTGGACGTGACGCTGCGGCCTTTTTTCCTCAGGAGCTATCGCAAAAATAAAAACAGCTGCTATGATTATCATCTTTTGTATACAAATAATTTCTATTTTGCATGCAAGCCATCAGTTTCTTTTATTACAGTAGACATAAGCAAATTATATTGCAATAAGGCACCATTAAAGGAAGCATGATTCATTTTTGTCGCATTTACAAACAGCCTCCTGTTTATCGCCAACAGATTAATAATTAATCATTCGTAGCAGCCGAACCACGAATAAGTAGTAGCTGATTCATATCGTCCGATGTCATTTTATATTTTTGTTAATTAGCCCGGGCAGGTAGAGGAGAAATACAGGCCTCAGATTGTGTTTTCATAGCAGCAGGTGGAGTGTTTCCTCCTGGGCTCCGCTCCCCTCCTCCCCTCTTTGCCTCTCTGCTCCCGGGTCGCTTAGCTGTTGGTCCGCGGTGTTCAGGATGGATACCTCCTGGAGCAACTTCCTCTTTCAGGTAAGTCTGAATTGTTAAAGCTGCTTTAGGTGGGTTTTATGTTTGTTTTTTGGGGGGCAAATAAGTGGTTGAGGAAGGGGGTGTTTGACATTTACGCATGGGGTTAAAGAGAGAGGATGGAGGGGGGTGGTCCCAGAGGGGTCAGGCTGAAGCTGTTTCCCAGGCCAGGAAGCTCCTATCACAGGTAAACACCCAGACCTGTTCCCTATCCAGGAAGAGTAACTAAGTACTTTTACTCCACTATCTCTTCTACTTGCCCTTTTAGTATGCACTTAAGTTATTGTTTACATTGTATGCTAATGTATACTCTTCACTATGAGCTACATTATGGCCTTTTTCCGTCGCTAGATCTTTTCCCTGGACTGCTGACAATTTAGGTGTGTTTTGTATTTTTTTTTCTATATATATTAATAAACATCCAAACAGAATTTAAGTAAGAATCAAAGTTTGGGTAAATAATAGAAGATTCATATAAAAACTTTGAAAGTATTTACATATTTTATTAAAGGGTAATAATAATAATACATTTAATTTATAAAGCGCTTCTCATCTGCCAAGACAAATCTCGAAGCGCTTAAGGGTAGAACATTGTATCCCCGGGGTAAATTGGATTTCATAACCGTTGCTCGATTTTACAAATATTTGTATGAACATAGAGCACCTATAGTAATAATATAATGTATAGGTAGTAAAAGTGAAAATTACCCATTTTAGAAGAATGTTATTGTAATCCAATAATTTATGCACTATGTGTTCATCACATTAATGTGGCAGAGGCGGAGCTCATTTTTACAACGTTATATGGGGCTGCAAATAACAATTATTTTCATAATCGATTCATCTGAAAAAACATGTCAATACCAATTTCTTAAAGTCCACGGTGATGTCTTCAAGTGTCTTCTTTTGTCAGTCTAAAACCCAAAGATATTCACTTTATTATGATTTTAAACATAGAAAATAATTTATCAATCATCAAAAAATGTTATTAACTGATTAAACTTTGCAACTGTTGTGTCCAAAGAAGTGACAAAAATCACAATTTTAAGTAAAAAATATTATTTTTGTATTCAGTATGTGGTTGTTCAAGCATTGGACCTTTTTCTAGTAAAAAGAATAATAGGGGCTGCAAGTAAAATTTATTTACGTTATCGATACAAGACTAATCCATTATTAAAATAGTTGGCTATTATTCCAAGAAAGTCTAACACTAGGTAATATTTACAGATAACCTAGTAATTTGTTCTCCTTTGTTTTTGGCAGACGCCGTCGAATCAGAGCCAGCCAGAGACGCCTCTCCAGTCGGAGCTGCTGCCGGAGCTCAGCGGTTCCGCTCAGAGTCCTCCGGCCGAGCACATCGCCTCGCCGCCGTCCACCGTGGACACCGCTGCCCTGAGCGAGGAGCCGCTGCCTGGTGAGGGGGACTCTTCCATTGTGCCGTAGTTTCAGACAGGACACATGAGGACATTATTTTCAAAGTTACTGTTAGAGCCAATCTTTTGTTTTGTAACAAAGGCCAAATATTGTCAGCTAATCATGACCTCTGTAGTCAAGGAAGTATAAAAGACTACAATTCCCACGGCACCAGCCCCGTTAAGAGACACAGAGATGTGCAAACTGTGCGTAAGACGCTGTCGCGTTACAGTTTTTAACCGTTAAGTTATATGCCAGTTAATGGACCAGCACCAGAGGCGTTCCCATACACACAGGCGTTGGAGCTGTTCTTCGTGAAACCCAGAAGGATGAAGTGCTCTGACAAACAGTGCCATCTTTGTGCAAAATGATTATACAGGAATGAAAAGTCAATAAATAAACATGTTGTTAAAACTCACGCGTTGTTTTTTTGTTTTTTTGCGCGCCCCCCCCGCCCGCCCAAGTATATTTCAGATCTGTGGGAAACACTGATCCTACACAACGTAAAGAAAGAAAGACGATCTAAGGTGTTATTTGATTTAAGTTTTGCCTCTATTTGATTTAAGTTTTGCCTCTTTTGTTTTGATTTGCAAAGGCCTTTTTTTTACTTTGTTGAATGTGTGTGAAAAGTGTATTATTTCATTTAAACACCAGTTGCACAATATATGCAACTGTTAGCACAAACAAATAAAGGAAACATAATGTATCAGTGGCTTGATTGAAACAAAGGCAGGAAGCCGCGGCAGCTACTTACAATAAGTTCAAAAAACCATGAGGATACAAGTTCAAACTATTGAATTTGTGATTACAAGAGGATTAAAACTCTACATGTGATTCTCTGTGTCTCTCAGTGAAACCCCTCATCAAGCCGGGGCGGCCTGCCCACATCTGCTCCACCTGCAACAAGGAGTTCAAGAACAGCTACAACCTGCGGAGACACCAGTCGGTGCACACAGGCATCAAGATGAAGGACCGCGCCGCCCGGGAGAAGGAGGACGGAGTGAAGGTGGGGGGGGGAGGACGGGTGGAGAGGCAGACTGTTCCGCTCTCCCTCCTCCACCTCACCCTGCCTCAGACTCCTTCACTTACCCACAACGCAGCCACCGGCGCGGAGACCCTCCCCCTCCTCGGTCAGCAGCAAGACGGCCTGCAGGTTGCCGTGTCCATTGCGCCGGCAACTGTAACCATGGCTGCACCGCCTCCTCCCATCCAGGCAGCTGTTGTTGTCGTGGGCTCCCTGGAACAGGTGGGTTTATAGAGAGCTGCAGGAATGAGTCCTAAACCCCTTAGAATGAGTCAGCATTTTGTCACTTCCTCTCAGTTTGTTTTTTATTGTGTTTTTGGTTACAAGCCTAAAATAAGAATTGTGGATTCGAAAGGCTTAAGAGGTTTCAAAATGAAGAAATCCCATTGGACCTTTGTTAAGGGAACCAGGGAGATGCCAACTTCCTGTACAGATTACAAAATGACGTAGGACTTTGTGAAATAGAAAATTATTTTAAATCCATCTTTTGGAAAAACACTCAAATAAATGTTAATATGAAAATGTAACATCTGAAACATTGAGTACTCCTCATGAACACACATGCACACATCCGTCAAGTCTTCTTCTTTGCTTGTTTTTTTCATTGCCTCTACACACATTCACACACACATTTTACTCTGGATTTCCAGAGTAGGGCAGAAGGGCTAATTCTTTACTTTGGGACAGCAGTTCATATTACAAAATCTACCTCAGGACAAGGCCGTTTTATTTCTTCTTCATTTTCTAGAAAATAGGAAACAGATAAACTATGTTGGCAGGAATTACAAAACATTACCAGCACATTGATATAACGTTCTCTGCTGCTGATCCACAGAATCCAAACCCCAACCCCAGCAACACCAACACGGTGAGGAAGAACCACGCATGCGAGGCCTGTGGGAAAGCCTTCAGAGACGTCTACCACCTGAACCGCCACCGCCTGTCGCACTCGGACGAGAAGCCCTACTTCTGCCCTGTCTGCCAGCAGCGCTTCAAGAGGAAAGATCGTATGAGCTACCACGTGCGCTCGCACCAGGGCGGCGTTGAGAAACCCTACGTCTGTCCGCACTGCGCCAAGGCCTTCTCTAGGTGCATAATCAGCTCTTATTTCAATGGTTTTCTTCTTTATTTGTATAATAACTATCTGATCAGAGATAAAAACAGACACCAAATGTATTTACATTTGAAAAAGTTGTATAAAATAGTTGAACAACAGGTTTCTTGCCGTCTTCTTCTAAATCATTCTTAATTTGGTCAGAGGAGGTGCAGCCACGTGGTTCCTGGATAAAAACAATTTTTTTCCCATTTTTTCTTTTGAAATGTGAAAATGTAAATAAATCTAAATCTAAATGAAGAAAAATTCAACTTTAACTATGTCAGAAAATCTGATGTTTTTTCTACGAATATTACCCTGTTTTCCAGTTCCATATAAATTCACAGTAAGGTAATGAAAAAAATAGAATTTAGGAAATGAAAGTGGTACAAGCTAGATCTCACACATTCAGAAGAAAAGAAACAAGGATATTTCCAGATGTTTATTTGGTACGTTTATAAGAAAAAAGTATTTGTGTGTAAAAAGTGAGAAAAACGTATGCTGAGCCTTCTGCCTTTCTAACAAATAACTGAAGATTATTTTTCATATTTGTCTCTTTTTGACTTTGACATAGGTGGAACCATAAAGACAATACAAATGAGCTGTCAACATAAAACATGGCCTTGCCAAAGCATGCCGCACAAGGGGTTACAACAACACAGAAACAAAAAAGAACACTTAACAAACATGTGGCACAAACCACTGTGGAAGAAAACACCCTTTTTTTTTGCTTGCACAAAACAAAATGACATTTATTTGTAATGAAGGCTTTCTACAACCTAGAACATTCGTGATATGTTTTCTTTTGTTTTCAGACCGGACCACCTCAACAGCCACGTCCGACAGGTGCACTCTACAGAGAGACCGTTCAAGTGCACGGTAACGTCTTGATCTGTCTGTTTTCTGGAGCTCTACCAATATGGGTTTGTGAATCATAAAGACCATGAAACACTGGATAATGATGATGATGATTAATATAGTGAGGGGGTTTTAAATACAAATCTAACTTTGAGAAAATGCCAAAGAAAAAGAAAATACACATTACATAAAGACACAGCTGTAAACTCAATTTGGTAAGGAAATTCATATTAATATACATTTACATTTTAAGAAAGATCAATGATTTAAAAATACAGAGCCAGGGGAAGTGGGTAATATTAGGAGGAAAAGAATGTCAAAAAAAGTTTAAATTGGTAAATATAAAAGAAAAAACCTTTACAATTCTATAGGTGTAAACAATTTTACATTTGCAAGAAAACAATGGTAAACGACCTAAGATGAAAGTCAAGGATTCCCTACATTTGTTATAATGAGGTGATCCAATGGCAACACTATGTTCCAAGTTTTCCCTGCATGACATATATCGAAGACAATTTCATTTTCCATTAAATGTATTACTTTAATTGAGAAGAATATTGATTTGTTTTTCTCATACTTTTCCAACTTTAATATCAGGTATTATTATCCTCTCCCCCAGCTCTTTCATTTATGTATTTGTTCCTACAATGGCCCCAATAAGACATCTTAGAACTTATATATTTTACTTATTAGATACATTTAATGTTATTTTTCTGTGCCATTTTTTGATATTTGCAAGAGCAGTAACTTTTTGTTAAAACTTTTTAGTGTTTACAATAATTCCCTTTAGGTTATAATTAGCATTGGCCATATGACGATATGAACTGTGAGGCGGTTAAAATAAGATTTTAAAAAATATTTATTGTGTTCATTGTAGAGATTGAGATTGTGTTGGGATATTATCTCAAAAAAACATTTTACAAGATCTGATATATCTTTCAGGTATGAATTGATTTGAGAAGCAAAAATCAGACCAGTTTAACGGCATATCATTTTTTTTAAACAGTGTCCAATTGAATTTGCACTTCATCTATTATATTATGATAATGAAGTGGAAAAAGTTACATATAAAATGTTGATTTTATCCAAACTGCCTGACATTGTTTTGATGTTCTCACATGTCCTTGGTTTCTTTGTTTGTCTCACTGTGTGTAATAAAGCTTTATCCGATCTCATGTTTTGGTGCATGTCGTCTTGTTCCCTCACAGACGTGCACGTCAGCGTTTGCCACGCGGGATCGTCTCCGAGCTCACCTGGTGCGTCACGAGGAGAAGGTGCCGTGCCACATCTGCGGGAAGCTGCTGTCTGCGGCCTACATCACGGACCACATGAGGGTCCACAACCAGGCGCAGCACCACTCCTGCCACCTCTGCAACCGCAGTGAGTCCCGGGAACATCACACATCTCCTTTAAACCAATCAATCAAAGCAGCTTCTACGATTCTGCGTTTAGTTTTACTCCTGCTTATAGTGTTTATGCTTTAGATAACGGCCTCACTTTTACTGCTAACTGAGTGATTCACATTAAAACCTGTTTATAAAAGTGTGTTCTTCAAAAGGATTTAAAGGGGCCCTATTCTGCTCATTCAGGTTCATAATAGTATTTTTTGTCTCTACTGTGACATGTCTCCATGCTTTAATGTTCAAAAAGCTCTTTTATTTTTCGCATTTCCACTGCAGGGCCTCGCACGGCTTAGTACGGTATAGTTAGGCCTTGTTAGGCCAGGCTCACTTTATGCTGCGTTTCCATTACAGTTTAGGAACTGGGGTAGTAACTATAGTAACGCAGTGTAGGCGGAGCCGTGACGTCATCTTCAATGGTAACACAAAACCAACATCAGCCGTTAGCTGTTTGCCCTCAGAGCTCACAGCTCCTCATATCTGTTCAGAAACTAGACAAANAATTTGTAAACAATCCAGTTATTGTAGTACTGAATATAAAGAACGTTTAACTTCGACGTTCAAGTGAAAGAAAGAACGTTAATAAGTAAGTAGTCGAAGCAACTTCCCTCTATTCTCCTGAAGAACGGAGAGTATAAATAATGTTTGGTCATAAATGTTTGCGATATAAAAGGCCCCCGCGGAATTCTCAACATTTGGTCTCTTATCAAGTCGGGATTGATATGCCAGCAAAAAAAATTCGTGAAGCAACTTGGGGAATGGACGATGCTGTTATTTCTACTTAACTTAGATAAGATTCCTCATTTTTTGTAGATAAAGTCCTAATCCCCTACAAAAGAGACACAGACCCCCCCCCTCACAGCAAATGGAAGGAGAGTTTTGAAGACAACCGCTCGGACGAGGTCCAAAGAGGTCTGCGCTCGTCTCGGAGGAACGGTATCGAGCGAGAGAACGAAGCAAAGTCGAGAAAAGAAAAAAGGTTGTGTCAGGTTGAGAAGAGATACAGTGAGTCCCCAAAAATGGATGTGTGTGTGTGTGTGTGTGTTGTGTGTGGTGTGTGTGGTGTGTGTGTGTGTGTGTGTGTGTGTGTCTCCTCGATAATGATACCTTCCGGCGCTTCAGCTCGGGACGTGAAGTAGATTTCAAATAACCCGATTTAATGTTCTAGTCGACCTTATTTTTCACACACACACGAAACACACACACAACAACACACCACACGACACAACACACCCACACACACACACACACCAAAGTATGGGAGACCGCTCCTACATCGGGTACCCACCAACCCGTCCGGTCGGGACTCCAGAAAGTCTGACTTGTCTACTCGCGAAACAGCTTGCCGGGGTGCAAGGATTTCTGTCTGTCTCTGTTAAATGTCCCTCTTATTATATCTTTTTACTTGTGAACCCTCCATATGTTTTGATTTAATAAATGAGTCCTTTACGCTGAACTAAAACTCGCTACACGACAGTAGAGGTGTGTCAAAGTTACCCGCTTTTTAATGTCTTACATCATAAAAGAATAATTATTTTCGGATTATTTACTCTGACTTCCGAGTCGGTCCATTTCCGTAACTTTAACGAATGAGAAATACCGGTAGCCCAGATTGGACTATAAAGCCCCCAAAGAGGTGTCAGGACGATCCAGAACTTGCGGGTAGTACCTCAAAGACGTAGAGGGAGGTCTAAAACCCTTAGCCGCCAGTAAGTCGGACGCGTGGGGAAGTCTTCTTGTTAGTAAGTAGTCAGTAGTTGTTCCGGTTCGTGGGTAGATAATTTATTTTATGTCTGTGGACAACCTCAAACCTCAGTGGAACCAAAACTAGGTCACGTCGTCTAGACTCTGGTCCCGGAAAGAGTATGACCTGGAAGTACAGCCCGAGGTCGAGGTAAGTCGGTAGGGGTGCTAGACCTCCCTCTGCTGTCCTTCTTATAATTTATGAAAACAGGAATAGTGTGTTTTAGGATAATAATTGTAGTTTGGTTTGTAAATGATGTGTTGTAAAACTATAAGAGATTTGCTAGTAAACTAATACTATAATAAATCCTAATAAACAAATTGGTAAATTAGGTAATGTCGTTATAAGTTGAAACTCGGACGTCAAATTCTGTATCATTTATAGTGACATACTATATATTTATATAACGATATTTTACAGTTTGCTTAACGACTTTTTTATAGTTGGTTGTCGGGTTTTGGTATGTGGTATATATCTTAGGATTGACGTAAATCTGTTACTTCGGACTTGAAACTTTAACAAGTGAACCGAATGTTGAAGAAGGTTAATTATATATAAAAATTGTTTAATCACAACTAATCAACCGAGACCCGAATGACTAATTAATTTTTTGACCGAAGCCGGAAGATATATTTTACACATATTTTCCGTTATTTGTCAATCTGCTCTTACGTCCCGAACTGCAAACACGAATCGAAGGGGGGCTCTTTTTATTTGTTTGTTTTACCAAAGATCCAGTATAAGCTTTTAACTATGAACCTTTGAAAAAAAAAAAAAAAAAAAAAAAAAAAAAAAAAAAAATTTTGTTCTTTCCTCTCGCGGTTAAGAAAGTCCAGTTGTCGTAATGAGGTATATATCGGACTCGTCTCGTCTCGGCATAAGGTATGGTATACGCACAGACATATATATACCGGGTCCTACTTGGGATATCTGGATGTAAAACTACCACATGCAAAAAAAAGAACCTGACGGAAGGTTTATCTGTGAATTTTTGTTCCTGTCCTAGTGTTATTTTTGTTGGAACACAACCCTGGACCCTCCCGGAGGACACGACGACGTGATTGACTATTGACTCTGAAGGGTAGTAACTGTAGGACACTGTGTGGGACACTGTGTGGACTTTGTGGCAGTGCACTGGGTGTCCATGTGATGGCCTGGACCCTGTACACAAAAAGGTGGTCAAATGTGTTTGGTGATTGGCTAAAGAACGGGAGAAGTATCCGTAGGTTTGTAGTCTTCCAGTTTGGTGAAGAACTCTCAGTCAAACTATTGTAGACGATAACGTACAATATAAGCAACTAATTCAGTCGTCGATTCGTTGGTGACGTCATCACGTGTGTTTTACGCGCCGTTAAGCGCCAACGTTATCGGTCTTTTTATCGGTACTGGAGACATTTAAAAAATATATGTCATATGTGTTATTGCTACATAAACATTATATCGCAGTCTTAGTGTCGCCAATCCGTTTCTAATATGCAAAAAGACAAAAAAACGGGTCTATGATATATTTTCGATCTTTCGAATCCAGACGAGAGATCTCTCTCCCCCGTCTGTGTGCGAGGGGGCGGGGCAGTTTACACACACGCAGCTGCTACATGCAGCAACACACTGCGGAGATGGCGGAGAGAAGCGCTCTAAGGTGTGGTTAAATGTTACCCGTCTTGAGGTGGACAATGCTCCTCCTTGCCAAGAGTGTTTAGCATGTAAGGGCGGTAACACGAGCAATTTGTCTAAACATTTAGCAAAAGTGCACCACATTCAGAATCAGATGGAGGAATGCACCGGGTTCGACTGTCTTTCTAGTAGCTCTGTAGCCCCATCCATGAGTAACGTTTCCACGTCAGCGTCACACGGAGTTAACTCAATTATACAAACATGGGTTAATGATTAGAGGTAACAGAGTTATTTATTTTGTTAAAGTTTCAGCTATTCTGTTAACAATTCTGTCATCACATTATTTAATACGATTTGTTAAAACACTGTTGTTTCTTTTGATGTGAAATATTATTTATTTAATTTAAATAAAAAGCAATGTTCATTTTGTTCACAATTTTTTAAGTTAATTTAATATGTATTTTTTAATCAAGTATTCATCTTTATTGTCTTCATTGTTAGTTTCCACATGCCTAAAACAACCTCAAGCTAAATCTAAAAGTTGATGGCTAAATAAGAGCGTTTGAGAAATTGTGCAAGGCATAATAGTCCGAATAGTCGATTAATCGTTTCATTAATCGGTAGATTAATCGATGATCAAATTAGTAGTTTGTTGCAGCCCTAGTGTGGACGGTCGGAGCATATACTGCGTTAGCTTAACCGATCTCCATTCAGAAAACACGCATTTTAAAAGGTTTTTCGCCTGCCGTCTGTCTGCAGACTTGTTTGCATTAATTCATGGTTTTTACTAACCGGTATCAGTATGTTGTTACTTCGGCATCATTTTGAAACGTGTATTACAATTAAATCACGGTAAAATATGTTCATTTTGTTGTAGTTGCCAGCGATTCTCTCACTAGTTTAGCATATTCAGCCCGGTTGTTGGCCCGGAAAGAACCTGGATTTTGGAAAGCCAGAAAAACAGTGAAAAAGTACCCGCTAGCCGGAACTACGCCAAGTGGAAACGCAACCAAAAACAAAGCGGGCACGGCACACTTAAACCGCGCTGTAGTGGAAATGCGCCATTACATCCACAAAAACCTATATAAAACACTACAGGAAAGGGAAAACCCCAAAAAGTATAACAAGGGCTGCTCGATTATGGCAAAAATCATAATCACGATTATTTTGGTCAATATTGATATCACGATTATTGAATACGATTATTCATTGAATTTGAAAACATCCGTGGAGGACGTGCAGCGATCAGCTGATCCGGAGCAGAGAGAGAGAGAGAGCTGCGTTCCGGGGGGCTCGGCCTCCGCCTCCTGTCCTCACAACTCTTGTTGTTTGTTCTTACTCGGAACCGAGTTTTGCTTCCCAGCCCTGCCACTGTGCTTGCTGCAAGCAGCAAGATGCATTTCCTTAGGAATCGATAAGCAGAACCGAAACTAACAATTCTAAACGATACCAATGGAATCCAAATGTTGGAAACGGAACCTGATTTTGGTACCCAGCCCTACTCACAACCTGGCAGAGAGGGCTTTTAGGGAGGGGCGAAAGCACATGCACGGGCAGGATGTGACACAAGACAAATTGAGAGCATCATTGCAAAAGGGAATGCAGCAAAATAATCGTTTTATTACGATTACGTTGTTTTCGTAATCACTGCAAGCCAAAATCGTAATCGAGATTAAAATGCGATGAATTGCACAGCCCTAATAAGGACTCTTTAAAAGAATAAACTTATCACCATTCTAAAAACTTGTCTAAAAACTAAAAGAAAACACCACATTTTCAATTAATAAAAATAGAAGTCTAAGAGCAATAGTTCTCTAAAAACCACCATTACAGAATTATGATGAAAGATATTGTTCTACATTATGAGAAAAAATAAATAAATAATGGATAACAATATTTTGGTATTAAATTAGAGCATTTAGCTATTTCAAAATCATACATATATTGAGCAAGTGTGTGTGTTTTCCAGGCTTCACCACGCTCACCTACCTGCGGGTGCACGCTCAGAAGCATCATGGTCAGGAGTGGAAGGAGAGCGGCGGGGCGCGTGGGGGCTTTGGGGGGACTGGGGCCGGCGGTGTGCTGCTGTGCCAGCTGTGCGGGGTGCAGTGCAAGACGGCCACGCAGCTCCAGGGTCACATGGGCACCCACGCCGCCCAGGAAGACCCCGGCCACGACCCCACCAGCGCCGGGCCCGTGGGCTCCACCAGCGTTGCCGTCACCGTGTCCAGCGCCAGCACCGTGGGACTGCTGGTGACCGACTGCTCCGGGGTCGCACCCTCGCCCCACAGCTAGCAGGCTGGGAGGGCAGGGGGTGGGATGGGTGGGGGGGTGGAGCTGGGGATGGAGGCAAAGACAAACGAGGAGCAGACAAGCAGAGAGACAGGATCCTATCCAGGTGTGTGAATCATCTTCTGCCATCTTTTTTTTATTGGGGAGAATGAGGATGTTTAGTGGGAAACCTGGAACCTGAACATTACTTTGCATTTAGCTGACACTTTTGTTTTATCCTTAAAGAGGACATAGTATGCTGATTTTCCGATTCATTTGTATTTTGTGTCCCACCTGGGACATGTCTCCATGCTTTAATGTTCAAAAAGCTCTTTGTTTTTCTCATACTGCCTGTGCTGCAGCACCTCTTTTCACCCTCTGTCTGAAACCAGAGCCCAGTCTGCTCTGATTGGTTAGCTGGCCGGCTCTGTTGTGATTGGTCAACCGCTTAGAGATGCCCCGCCACTTAGCCTATCATGTACAATGTGTTGGAGTTCTAGCCAATAGAAGCGCAATTGTAACGTAGTGATGTCATAATGTTACGGAAATAAACAAAGGAGGAACAATGGTTAAGCAGTTAACTAAACCATTGTAAGTGCTTTATACAGAAATTAGATTTCATTTTAAATCCGGTTTATTGCAAAGTAGGTGTATAAGAACTTAAAGCATTATGATTAAGGTAAATGATGAACATCCCCATGCTCTTTTATGTTTCATAAGTGTTTGTGTTGAAACCATTTCTCACACAGATTTGGTGCTAAAGTGAACCATTTGTTACATTTAAAAATGGTGAACAATATATCCAAAATCAGCAGAGGGAGGGGCGTGAAAACAGTGTTCTCTCTCAAGATAAAGCAATATTCTTTATTTGTGTGAATGTAACATGTACAATGTATAATTGTAACAACTAATAATAAGATTACAAAGAAAAATAACAAGATACAATTCATAAAATCTAAAAGAAGTAGAAAAATGAAAGAGTGCGTGAGTGCTTGCTTGCTCGATGAGCAAATAATAAAATAACCATTTCATGAGAAGGATGATAACATTTGTATAAAAATAAATATATAATATACATATAGGAATACACACACTATGACAGACAAAAAAACCGATTTGTTACATATTATTTTCAACTTGTGAAAACATCTGTCATCCTGCTTCAGAATGAAATGATTTCTACCTTGGTCCAGGTGACACACTTCCACAAGTTTCATGAACATCGAGCCAGTGGTGTCTCTGTAATAGGGAACTGAAACTTAAAAGAAGTAATGGCATATTAATCATTTAAAAAAACAGCCCTTTACAGAAACATTAAAGCTGTTTAAACCTGATGATTCATGATCATATTTTGTAATATTAACATGCTTTTGTTTTCACTTTCCAGATGTTTTCATATCCGGACGTGAACACAGACCGATGGTGTTCCCTGCTCGGCGCTGGTAGTCATTTCATGAGGACGGCGGCCTTTGGTGACCTTTTACTTCCAGCTCCATCAGTGTTAAACAGCTGAGAGACACTTTCTGCAAACTGTTCCGCGCCTGTGCAAATCAGCCGAGTCAAAGCGAGAAACTGTGGAAAAGACGATAAGGAAAACCTCTGCTCAATCATTAGGGAGAAACATTTACGTGTATTTTTATTCATGTGGCTTAGCGATTAGCTGTTTCTATTTTTCGTCATGTCATTGTTTTCATTTTCAACAGCCTGCCAAGATTTTGAAAAGTCGTTGTTGTTTCTGGATTATTTATATTCCATGATATCAGTGTTTATTTATAATGAGATTGACCTAACATGAATTTTGATCAGTTTCCCACTTATTTATTGATATTATCAGTATAATATAATTTATTTGAACAGTCTCCAGTTTGTCTTTGTCCGATTCTACAGAGCACGGACACCTCACAGGAAATGGGTCAGCTATTTCACACGGGCCATCATGTAAATACACTTTTATAACGCGGATAAAGGCAAACTAATAATAAGTTATTTGTGTATATTCCTCTCCATGAACATGAATGTGCTTCATATGGTCATTGCTCTGTCTCTGGATGCTGATTTGTAATTATTGAAAAAGGTACATTTGCCATGTGATTTGTAGCTACCTTGGTGACACATTTTCTGTGGCTGTGCATATTGATTGTAATTGATGCATAGTGCATAGCGCCTCGTTACTACTGTATTAAAAAAGCAGTAAAATGCATGTGTGGGTTTAAGTGGAAATCATCTGTCCTCGTGAATGTCAGCAGTGGAAAGTAACTTAATATATTTACTCAAGTACAAATTGAAGGTACTTTATTTGAGTATTTGCTTTTTTAATGCGACTTAAATGTTCTACTGCACTACATCTATTTGAAATCTTAAGTAATTTTGCAAATTAAGATTTTCCCACTCGACAAATGAAATAAAAGCTAAGAACGAACGGGCCATTAAGCAATTCGTTTTTTAAATGGTATGTAAAACTCTTCATTATTGAAGTCACTTTTTTACGTAAAACATTTCATATTTCCAGAGTCACAAATGTGAAGGTTGGCTGCTGTCCTTTTAATTATTTTAATATTCAAATGTAAATTGTTGTTGTCAATTGCTTACTATGTGCTCAACAATGAATGCAATGAAGATTCTTACAACTATTCTAATTTAATGTATAAAAAACATTTTGTGTTTAAAAAAAGGAAAACATCATGCAAGTAAAAACAATTAAAAAGAGCAAATACAACAAAATAAGTATACATTAATAGAATAAAATGCTGCAAGTTTGAAAAAAGGGATGAAGTATAAAAAATATAATTATTATATACTAAACATTAATTGAGAAAATCAATTCAATCAAATGCACATAATGATCAGAACATATATTCACTAACAAATTCAATTATTTTGCAGATTCAGATAATAGAAAATGTAATAAAGTATGATGTAGTATTACACAAAGGTACCAGGTGCAGGGTCAAAGAGGTAAACCATAGACTGGGGCAAACACATTAATTCATCACAAATTACAAAACAATAACATAATATATATTATTATTGCATAATGAGCACTTTTGATGCTTTAAGTATATTTTGATGCCAATACGTTTCCTTGGTGACGATTTTGAATGCAGGACGTCTACTTCAGAGAGTATTTTGGTATTAGTTTTTAGTAAAGTATTTGAGTACGTGCTCCCCCTCCACTGCTGTGAAGCTAGGCTAACATTAGCATTGTTTACAGCAGGCAGAACAGCATCACCCTCCCCCACCCGGTGGCTTTAACAACTCCTCCTACTTAACAAGCTAGCCAGCTAGCCGCTGTAAAGGCAACCATAGCTCTTTAAAAACATACCACTGAACATGACAGGGTCTCCTGGATGATATATTTCATCCAGGAAACACAAGAAACTGCCTTAATGGAACGCTTGTTCGGCGTGTTTTACGACGCGATGGCCAGCTAGCAGGCGGTCCCAAAGCTAGCTTGTCGGCTAGCCGGGGTAGGAGCTTCTGAGACCCTCATCTAATCTCGGCTTTTTTCGGCCTTTTTTAAAATTAGTTTCCGTGTCATTCCAAGTTTATTTTAAACGACGTTTTATATTTATGTTTGTTAGTTTAAATGACCAATTAAGTGTTTTTCTTTTTGAATATGTAGGTCAATGAACCCGACCAATGATAGTTATTTGGGTCATCCTCGGGTATTAGCAGGAACAGCTGGTTAGCCCAGTGGCTAGCTGTTTTTATTTATCAGTCATCTTTAACGAAAAACACAATAACTTGGATGCACATGTTTGTATGAGTAGATATAACTCTGTAGTCTGTGTTTATGAGGTTATCATCGAGTGGAACATTTATTTTAATAGTTTGGAGTCGTCGCTTCACCATCGTTAGCCAACTGAGCTAGCCGGATCCTGTTAGCATCCGAGCAGCTTCACTAATTAACAAGGTAAGCGTAAACAAAAAGAAACTTTAATTACAATAAAGTGTCTCAATTTATGGTTCTGTTTGCAACATCTTCATGTATTTATATAAGCTGTCACCGATATGTTTCAGGCTTTTAACGCTTGCTTTTACACTTTTATTTATATATTTATTTTGTATTTGGGTTTTGTATGTTCCACACTAGTTCTTCTATTCTTACAACATTTCTACGTGTTAGTCCTCTTTCTCTCTGCAAGTGTATGCACAATAGTCATTTGTATTTGTTCAGAATCAGAATAAGGTTTATTGACTTGGTATTTAAATATAAAGTTAAAGCAACGTAAAAGTCAATAATTTAAATAAAGAAAAGGAAATTTGCAATTAAATAAATGGCTAAAAAATATACCATAACAAAAATATAAAAGTAAAATATGTAACTTTTTTTTTTATGTGCAAAAATATTGATTAGGGTTGTGCAAAAGTGGTTGTTGTGCAAAACATGTTTTAAACGCATCTGTCTCTCTGCAATGTTATCACATTCCTAATCGCTTTTTGTTTTAAAATCTGTGATTTATAGTTTTAAAAAAACATCCAGGATCAGTTACAAGTATTAAGATGTTCTACATCTTGGTGTTGCAAGTACTAGGTATTTCCATTATCGACTTATCAATCAATATAAATGTCTAGCACAGGTTCCTAGAACAGAAAATGACTTCATTTTGAAATGCTTATTTCCTATAATAAACTTCCCCAAAATATTTAGTTTGTATCATATAAGAAAATCAGCAAGTATTCCCATTTGTTACCAGCAAGTGTTTGGTATTTGTTCAAAGAAAGTGTCAACTACATGAGGGTTAAGTCTGCTCAACGATTTTACCTCAGGTAGAATTGAACACTGTTAATGTCACCAAACCAGATTATATACTAACTATAAATGATTTTCTTTAAGTGGCCCTATTATGCTTTCCCCCCTGTTGTGTGTTATATAGCTTTTTGTGCATGTAAATGGTCTTCCATAATAAAATGACATCACTATGTATCACTCACGCCTAGGGATGGGTATCGTTAGGATTTTATCGATACCGATACTGCTTATCGATACCGGTATTTTTCAATACTCTTATTGATACTTTTCAATAATTTGGTGCTCAAAATTATAGACATGATTACAAGATGTAAAGATTAAACAAGTCATTTTATTGTAATTAATTTTTATTTATTATTTAATGTAACTTTTTAAATGTCATACCAAGCAGGTATGAGTGTGTTTGACAGTAGCTGTGTCCCAATTCAGCGGCCGCATCCTCCTGAGGATGCATTCGGAGTCCGCATACGTCACTTCCGCCAAACGAAGGCTGTCCCAATTTAAAAAAAAGACAAGACTCCTCCGAATGCGGCCCACAAATGCAGCCTTCTTTCCCCAGATTTAGAGGATACATCTGATGTACACTCCGCGGTCTACCATATCCCAGGATGCAACGGGTGACGGTGACGAATGAGTTTTTAAAAAAAAAATAAGGCTTGTAACGTCCCATCAACGGCTACAACGGTTTCAGCTGGATTCGTTTTTAAATGTACTCACCCAAATAGTAAACGACATGAAAGAAAAGTAAACCTATTTAATTTGTGTATTTAAATATACGGGAGATGTCTTCTTTATATTACATACATAAAATAATATGAAGTGAAAATATTTCTAAACCCTGTTTGGTTTTCATATTGTTGGGATTCATTATAAAGCTGATTTATTTATTTAACTGCTTTTGTTATACAAATCTTACTGCAACAATTTTATTTTGATAGGGAGCAAGGAGCAGACTGCGCAATTTATCCAGATGCGCGGGGAGAATGAAGCCCTCTTCACGGGGGCCTGTTGCGACCTCGGGAAAATAATTTAAACACAACACCAAAATAAGTACAGCTAGATCTGACTCCATATTGAACAGTTTTGAAAACAGTTTTGAAAACAGTTTGAAAATATTTTGCCTAGTGTCAGAAATTATTAACGGCACTTGTGACTGCAGCTGGTTGCTAGGTGACGGGGGGCAAAATGTAGGGGTAACTGCCGGTGACGTACAAGGACATGCTCCGTAGACCGTCTCATTTCGCAGTCCGCGGAGGACCCAAGCTGGGTCCTCCGCGGACTGCGAATTGGGACACAGCTTGTGTGTCTCTGGAAGGGGGGCGGTAATTAGGGGGAGTTCATAAATCCATGTAAACATGACCATTCTTCAGTTAAAACGAGACGGCTTGCGCAACCTCTAAACCGAAGTCGGTTGGCTAACGCATTATAATCCTGTTTATTGCGTGTTATTAGTTTAGATCGTGGTAATGATGGATTTAATCCCCTTGAGTAATCATTTTGTAAAGTCTACCACAGAGAATTGGGATTAAACGTTTTTTATGATTTAAACTGACGTGTTTAGAAGAGGGATTTGGCTGTTGCGCAGGTTATGTGTAAGAGTTTAGCGTTAGGGGCCCGTGTTGCTAAGTGGTTTGTTTAGACTCTTTGTGTTGGACTTTCTTTCCGTGGTAGGGGTTAAAATGGTTAATAATTGGGGTCGGGCCATCAGAGGGTGGGTACCTCAAAGGACCGGATCGTCACACGGGGATGAGGGTTCCCAACCCAACCAGGAATTGTTTAACTAAGGGAAGTACTTAATTCATATACCGATAGCAGTTACCGGTTTGTCCATTCGGCTTAGACCGGTTATACCAATACCGTCCATCAGGTACCGTACCTCGACTTAGTTACCGTTCTCGATACCTACTCCATACTCACGGCCTCGTATTTGGCTTAGCGGTTTTCTTAACACATGTGTTTACGATGGATAGCTAGAGGGGCGGGACATCTCTAAGCTGTCCAGGTATACCCAATCGCTTAGGAGCCAGGACTGTGGCTTGGTTCAGACCGGGGAGGGAAAAATCATTTAAAGCATGGGGGAACATGGGTCACCAGTAGAGCAGTGGGTTTCTCAAACGTTTTCATACCAAGGACCACTGTAAACCAATAAAAAACACTAAACGGACCACCCTACTCCAGACAAAATATCCCCAAAACACATCGTTTTTCTAGAACAGGATTACAAATCGGCCTGAAAATGGTTACAAACACGGGTTGGCCAACCATTGGTGTTGACGAAGCGGTGTTGCCCCCCGGGTGTTGCGCTGGGCTATATATATATATATATATATATATATATATATATATATCATGCAATCTCCATTGCGGAGATATATATATATATATATATATATATATATCATGCAATCTCCATTGCGGAGATATTCCCGTGAGAGTGCGGAAAACTTACATTTATTTATTTCAAATGTGAAATTTTACCAATATACTCACGGACCACTAGGGGGCGCTCACGGACCACACTTTGAGAAGCACTGCAGTAGAGGCACAGAAAGTAAACGTGAAAATTAGCATAATATGTCCTCTGAGAATTCGTTTTTTTTTTTAAATGCCAACAGTTGTACTCCCACTACAGGATACATTCTTAGCATATTTGACCCCCTCTGTTAAACTATGACCTCAGGAGAAAACGGTTTAAGTGGGATTTGTTTCTAAACTAACTATATTCCCTGTCTGCACACACAGGAAACGCGTGGATCATGCTGAGTTAGGAATTGTCTCCTCAGCGCCTAGCCGGTTACGTGCAGACAAAGTGTTTCTGGGGGTTTGGTGAGAGAAGGGATGGCATTTCACGGTGCCGGCCGGCAGACCGTTGGAGATTTGTTCCCGGGCTCTGAGCTGGGCCACAAGTATTTCTGTGTCAATTCATCGTGCGGAGCCCCGTCCACCGGCCTCAGCGCCACGCCGTGCCTGACCGGACCCACCGCCCCAGCCGGGACGCCCCGCCACCCCACAGCTCTTGGGGGGAGCGCAGGGGGAGGGGCGGCGGTGCCTCAGCCCTACAGCAACCCAGCCAGCGAGGTGCCCAGCCCCGCTGAGATGGAGCCGGACCGCCCCATCGGTTATGGAGCCTTCGGCGTTGTCTGGTAACAATACATTATTTAGCACTATATATGTGTTGTGCATGATAATACATATAAAAATGCACATTCATTCACTCCTGGTGAAAACATACAGAAGTGTGATCAGTGTGCAGAATTTCTGTTGTTAGTTGTCCATTAGTTCTTGCCAGGCAGCCATGTCTATTTTTTAATATGTTTTTATTTAATCTGCACATGAAATTAGACAAAAGTTACCAACGTGAATGTATATTCAATTAATTATAACAAACAGACAAAAATAAATAGGTAAAAACTAATATTAAAGCATAGGAATTAGAATTAAAAGCAGCCATACATTAATAAAACATTTTCTTTATACTGTACAAGGCCCAGAGGAAGTCTTCAATATGCTCCTTTTAAAAATAAACAATAGGAACGCACCACTTTTGTTTTGTGGAGCATAATGAATTATAGGCGCTTTCACACCAAGTACTTTGCCGTACTTAGTTCCCAGTATTTAGTTCTGATGAACTCAAGAGCAGATCGCGTTCACACCGGAATAAGTCCCTGAGGGAGGATTAGGCAAATGAAGCCGCTTACGTCACTTCTTCTTCTTCTTCTTCTTCTTCTTCTGCTTTGGGTTTACTGGCAGGCCGCAAACAACTTCTCGGTGTATACTGCCACCCGAAGTCCCCGGCCGGAAGTCCCCGGAGTTGGGGACTGGCTTTGATTTATTTACTAAGAACCAGCACATGTTTTGTATTAGTACACAAAAATACCACAAACCGTTTATCATCAAGCGTATAATAACATATGTAGTCCAAAGCATTGCATGTGTATAAAAATGTTCTGTGGTTGTGGATGTTTTTCAGGGCTGTTACGGATCCACGTGACGGTCGGAAGGTGGCGTTGAAGAAGATGCCCAATGTCTTCCAGAACCTGGTGTCCTGTAAGAGGGTCTTCAGAGAGCTCAGGATGCTCTGCTTCTTCAAACACGACAACGTAATGACCAGCAGACAAAAGAAGAGACTGGATGTCTGTAGCAGAGTCCTGCATGGGTCTGATTTTTAAGACCCGCACCCGCGACGTGCAATACCGAACCCTCCCCGCTACCCGCACATATTGCCAATTAGTTCCGCGACCCGACCCGACGGCACAAGATCCGCAAACCGACCCGAACCCGCTTATATATATGAGCAGTGAAAACGTGCAATTATTAACACACGCAGTTATTTGTCTCAAAAAGCGTGGTATGTTGGTTATTTCCTGCATCTAGGAGGACACCAAAAGCCTCCCAGACGTTGGATTTCGCTCTTGAGGAAGTGTTATTGAAAATGCTGTATTCTCCGTTAGAGAGCTTCACCTTTAAGCATTAAACTAAATTATTATTATTTTAATATATTTATTCTGCAACACCCGCGACCCAACCCGCATCATCTTTGTTTTACCCAGAACCGAACCCGGAAAAAAGCATTTAAAAAAATACCACCCGCGAATCACTTTTTTTTTTGCGGGTACCCGACCCGATGCAGGACTCTGGTCTGTAGTAGATGGATTCAAATATATAACTGATTGTTTGGTTTTCTCTCTCTGCAGGTTTTGTCCGCTCTGGACATTTTGCAGCCTCCACAAATCGACTGCTTTGAGGAAATGTATCCTTTAAAAATATATATACGAAACAATTGATCAGAAGTGGGAATGATACCATGGCGTATTATGGCCTTGTATATAGTATACAAGTATTCAAATTGATAATGGAGCGGGTAATATCCAGGTAAAAAGCTCTGAATTTCCTATCTAATAGTAAATGAATGCAAAAAAAAAAAAAAGCTTGGATATTCTCTGAGATTAACATGATAAATTGACAAGTAAAGGTGAGATGACTGTGAAAAAATTCAGACATTTAAAAAAAAACAAAAAGAAATTGGTTAATATTTGAGAAAATACTCACAAATTGACTTGATAGAATCTTCTATATTCTCTTAAGATTAAAATGGGACATGAACTAGAAATTCTGTACTTTACTAATAAAACACTTCAATATTTTGTAAAATTAAATCGCTTAAGCTGCTGCCTGAATTTAGTAAGCATGGCCTCTGGGTGAAAGGTTCTAAAAGATTCATAAACGTATTTTCTTCAATTTGTTATTGGTTATTAACATAAAGGAATACTAGCACAATTATTTTATAATTTGTATAAAAAAAAAATACAAAACATTTAATCCTCTACATTTGTGACATGAGAATTTCAGTAATTATTTACAATATATTTGTTCTCATAGATGTACCACTTTATTATTGCAAGTTTAAAGCGTTTTCTCTGAATACTTCCCCCTTTCTCCATCTCTGTAATTCATTTTTAACAGCATGGCCCCTAAACGCCATTGTAGAATCACACCTTCTTTTTATAATATTACCACGGTTGTGGCTTTAATTTCCAGCACACCTTCTCATTACATTACATGTCACTTGTTTGACGCTTTTATCCAAAGCGACTTACATACTCAATACTGTGGGCAATCCCCACAGGAGCCATTTGGGGTGAAGTGTCTTACCCAGGGACACAACGACATGCTGACTGCAGTGAGGTTTGAACCTGTGACCCCCTGATACGAACACCAATGCACAACCCACTACACCACACACCCCGTCATTAATCTTACATTCACCCCCCCACGTCTTATGTCCCAGTTTCTCTTCCTTTAACAGTCCCCCATGTCCTCCTTTTAATTCTCTTAATTTAGCCTCTAACTCTCACTAGCTAGTCTAAATCCAGCTCCTCTCTATTCACTTGTGAATGTAAAATAAGACATGAAACTCAGTTCTTTTTTCATGCCTGTGCTCCTAAGAGATGCATGGTGTGCTGTGCATGTAGGCGGAGGTCATTCTGTGTGTGGGTTTTACTTTCCTTGACCGAGAACCCCCCCGCAGCTACGTGATCACGGAGCTGATGCAGAGCGACCTGCACAAAGTGATCGTGTCTCCGCAGCCGCTCACCACCGACCACATCAAGGTCTTCCTCTATCAGATCCTCCGGGGTGAGCACTCTTACTGACGCACTAAACAGTATTTTTAGTTATTCAAATGGAGTTTTTTTGCTTGCAATCCTCTACAAATATAAGAAAACATCCATCACATTTCCCTAAATGTATGACTTCAAATCTCAATTGGTCATAAGTCCAAAACCTGGAGATATGTAATTTACTTTGACATTATTTCTAGACTTATTGTACCCATAGCCCCATCAATAATAAACCTAATCCCTGCAGTTCAGACTAAACTAACAATAAACTGTTGAATTATTCAGCTGAGCAATACTCTGCATTCATTATTCAAGACCATTTTAAATGTATAACATTATTATATATTGTAATGTACATCATTTTTCGTATTCATTATTGTATATTTTTATTTCTTTTGTTATATATTGTTCTCTTTTGTTTTATCAAAAAAAATAATGTATATATTGTTATTATATATTTTTTAAATTCTAAATAGACCAACTTGGACAAAATAAAATGTTCCCTTGGGATCAAAAAAGTATTCCTGTTTCCGAAAAATGAAAACAAGACACATTGTGTTAAAGACAAATACTAAAGAATGTAACCAAGATAGTTTTCGATCGATCAATTCGTGAATTTATCAATTTGAACTCTGAACCAAGCGTACACAAGTCAAATTGAATAAATTGGTTACAGGCAATACATTTAAAATGATAGTGTCAACTTGATTTATTGTTCTCTATCATTTTAATTTAAAATAGAATACTTATGATTTTTCTACGTATCTGATCTGAACGACATGCAGGGAGAAAACAGACTCTGTAGCCAAGATGTTTTCTAATTGGACTGTTCAGCGTCTATAATCCAGTGCAGGGGTTGACAACCCTAGGCGGTACTATAACCAGCGGCACACTAGGAAGTAGTGTGCAAAATATTTAAATTGTAATTTCGGATCCTGAACGAAACTGCCACCAGAGCGCGTCTCCTCGTTACCTGCAGAAGGAAGCCATGCACGCAACGCAGCGCAGAAGGACAACTTCTAGGCCCCGCTCTCTTTAACTCCAGTCGACTTGCTGCTGCTTTCCTCCGTGGTGAAACGATCAGGGGTGTAGTGCTGCCGGAGCGCACTGGAACGCCGCTCCGGCACTTCACAAATTGCAGTACCCATAATGAGCTGTACACATGCCGCAGTTTTTGCGTGACTGTGTATTTAGTTGAAAGCCCAATGGCGATCAGCTCATCTGTCATCGAAAAGAATATGCTATATAGGGGCGGACTGGCCATCTGTGTGTTCTGGAGAATCACAGCACGGCCGGTCGTCAGCGGGCTGTTGACGGCCGGCTCGGTTCGCTGAAGGCCGGCACCGCCCTTTATTTAAATGTGTTTAAACGGCATCATGTAAGTTGCCCTGTCAGGCGAAAGAGAACCACAGCTTCCCTGCAGCGATGCTCCCCCCGCCCTCCTGTTGACATTTCACGAACGTCCGCACACTGATCACTTTTTTTTTTTTTAATGGCACTTCATATCAAAAAGGTTGTACCGGACAAAGTGGCGCCAGCAGCTGCGCGAAGGTGGTGATAGACTTGACAAAGACTGGATTCGTGGACTTGCTCAAAAATGTGGACATACTGTACCTCTCTGATTGCACTGTACAATCTCTTGTAGATTTTCTTGCCAATATATGTTGTGCGGTTCAGGTTTGAAGTACCTGCACTCTGCTGGGATCCTGCACCGAGACATCAAACCTGGAAACCTGCTTGTGAACAGCAACTGTCTGCTCAAGGTGAAACAGAATCTCTGCTTTTTAAAAACGTTTGCAAGTTGGAAAGTTAGAAAGAGCGTTAATGGAGTATTTCACGGGCCAAAGACACCATCTGATCATGTTTCTACATGGATACATTATTGTGATATTTATCTTTTTTATTTCATTTAGAATTGTTACCTTATTTTAGGTTAGTTAAAATATTTTAGTTATATTTCCGATTATTTTAAATGTATTTTGGATTTTTTCATATCAATGGTTTTATTTGAGGTATTCTACATTATTTTATTTCAAGTTAGTTTAAATTATTTTTGGATTATTTTATATTGTTATATTTTATATTGTTTTATTTTATACTGTTATATTATTTTCTAAATGATTTCAGATTATTTTAGAATTAAAATGTCATTATTTTTAAATGATTGTTATAACATGTTAAGTTATTGTAGGTGTAGTGTAGGTTTGCTTCTTTTCACTGTAAATGCTGCGCTGCAAATTTCCTCTGTATAAATGAATATTCAGTTTCAAATGTTCTATTGAGCTGTGCTCTGCCGGGTAGATCCTGGGCATTGCAGTGCCAACCTTTTTAAATATATGTTCTCTAAACCTGTGTTTAGATTTGTGACTTCGGCTTGGCGCGTGTGGAGGAGCCCGACCCGTCGCGTCACATGACCCAGGAGGTGGTGACGCAGTACTACAGGGCCCCCGAGGTGCTGATGGGCTGCAGACACTACGGCTCGGCCATCGACGTCTGGTCCGTGGGCTGCATCTTCGCCGAGCTGCTGGGCCGACGCATCCTCTTCCAGGCTCAGAGCCCCATCCAGCAGGTGAGGTCCTCTACCTGCATCCATTATGTCCTGGTGGATCTCTTGCTTTATTAGACCACGTCCTTTTAGGTGAAGTTTGCTATTTAAATCCTCACACTATGCGTTTCCTGCAGTGTTTTTACTGTAAAGTCACTCTTCTACAGCTAAACAGTGCCTCTGCTAAGACGAAATCATGCCAACACTTTCTGATAAAGTAGGATTGTGTTGAATCTCTAAACTGGTTTGGTATTTTTTGGGGTATTTTTTCACTTATTCAGCATTTCTTGCACTTAATTGAAGAGGCCACCTACAGAGTTTGATAATACAGACAGGAATGTACAGCTTATATGAACCAGTGTAAGGTTTTGATATTATGCAAATGTGTGTTATTGTCTTTAACTGGCTCTCTGTCCTGCAGCTGGATCTGATCACAGACCTGCTGGGGACCCCTCCTCTGTCGGCCCTGTCTGCAGCCTGCGAGGGGGCCAAAGCCCACATCCTGAGGGGGCCACACAAACCGGTACGGGACAAAAACACTCAAAGCTCTTTTCTGCTTTTTTTTTAGCAGATAACATCTCCTTGTTTCTGAGAGATAATTTGTAAACTCCAGCATAAATAAAAAAATAACAAAATAATGTTAGTGTACTGGACTTCCCTGATGTAAGGTCAGTGAAATAGTATAATAAATAAATATTTGGCCTTGTGATTATTTCAACTGATGAATAATCACTTACCTAAAGCTGCTGCATTGACTTTTGTTCACCTGGTGGCAGAGAACTGTGAGAAAATGCATTTTCTATTGGTGTTACAAGAATAGTTTATTTACACATTAATTAACAACAACAAAAGATATTAAAATCTGTGCATGTATAACATTTGTAATAATATCCTGTTATGAGCACAGCCAATGGCATTCAATGATTAATTTATGTATTTGTATATAATTTATCGGAAATGAAATGCCTTATCTCAGGTTATTTGCTGATAATCTCGCTGAAATGTTACCAAATCTGAAATCTTCATGCCCACTGACATGAGAGTTTACTGTGATACTTGTGACCAATGCCTGAACTCTATTTGAAGTCGATCTGTCAAATAATATAAAATAATATGAACCTTTATTGATTCCGTGAAGAGAAAAGCAGCAAAACACAGACATATGTCAACGTACACAGGGAAGCATAAGTCTTCTTTTTTTTAATTTTATAAAATCAAGAAAATCTATCCGTCAAATAAAAACAAACATACCCAAATGTATATTCTTAATTTAGAATTATTCATAATAAAAAGCATGTCTCCCAATATGAGGTGTAAAGTTCAGCAGCACATTTTCTAAAAGACGATAATGAAAGAAACTGATTATTAATTTTTGTATTTCTTTGTTTGTTATATTTGCAGCCGTCGCTGTCGGTGCTGTACATGCTGTCTGACGGAGCCACACACGAGGCGGTGCACCTGCTCTGTCGGATGCTGGTGTTCGACCCGGTTAGTCCCCACACTCTGTCATTACTGATTTCTGTGTGTTTTGCGTTCTTTACCCAGTCTCTGTGTTTTCACCTCCAGACTAAACGTATCTCCGGCAGCGACGCCCTCTCCCACCCTTACCTGGACGAGGGGCGCTTGCGTTACCACACCTGCATGTGCCAGTGCTGCTACTCGGTGCCGAGCGGGCGAGTTTACACCCGGGACTTTGAGCCGGTCGCCGAGCGGCCGTTCAGCCACAGCTACGAGAACAGCATGCTGTCTGTGTGGCAGGGCAAAGGTACGCCACACACACACTTCCTGCTCCAACTGAACACACTTACGCACGCCCAGGTGTTTGCCTCAGATTTAGTTTGTTACTGTGTGTAACGCCGGAAACTTCCAGACAAGAATATCCTTTCATACATTACTTTCCATGATCCAATATCAACAAAATACAATGTTTAGGTTGCCTGTATATAATTGCACTCGCTTGTTTCACCCTGGTAAAAAACCATATGCCTATACTGGTGGCCTAATGCCACCACCGCCTGTCTCCAATATATACATAATTACCCAGTGCCCAAAGCTGCCTTCAAAATGAAAGCATAAAGAACTGAATTGAATTATAACAATAAATAAATTCACATTACCAATAAACAATAACATCAAGAAAATACATGTTTACTTTTTCTTCTGCGTGAGAGGACGCTGGCGCTGACTGTTCGCCGCTTCTCTGTCCGAAAACCTCGTCTTTCTTTGTGTTAATCTAAGAGTTTCTGACCACTTTCTACTGCTATAGATTTCTAACTATTCTGTGGCTTTTGTGTTCTGATTAGGCTTGGGCGGTATCATTTTTTTCATACCGTCATACCTTGCTGACATCATACCGTGGTATACGGTATGACTTGGGTCGACTTGAGCGAGGTGGCGTTCGGCGGCAAATAGATGTTTCGAACGGTATATTATATGTTCGGTGTAAAATGCAGCCCGAGCCGGTAGACGCTCGCAAAGTGCCGCGACGTGCGCGCAAGTGCAAAACAAGGGCTGCATACATGACACATTGTGCAAATGGCACTTTTTGAGATCGGATACAGGACGCGTTTGTAGATGTCCGACGTTGTTTCATTGTGAGCTAAGTTAAAATATATCATCATACATAAACATTTTCCGGGAGTAAATACTTGACTTATGAATAAAGTTTGCTATATTCACTAACAGTTTGGCAATATTATTCCGTGCATGTGTTAAAAACCTTATTTCCAACTTGATTATTGGATTAACTCGCGTGATGTTTAGCACGTAAATGCTTTCGTTTTTAAAACCGTCCGACCTCGACTCAGAAACCATCACCAGTTGCTAGGATTTAAAAAATGTCAACACTCACTCACCGTCTAACGATTCCCAAAGAAGTGCCTCTGTCTTCGTTGTGCTGGATGAGTCACTGGCGACGGTAAACCAAAAATAGCCCCAAACGGCGCCGAGGAATCTTTTCTTTTTTACTAGTTGTCGAGCTTCGGGGCGGCAAATGCTGGCGCATCCTTACATCAGCTCGCTCTGTGCTGAGCTCTCAGAGCGCGGAAAGACGGACTGCCCTCCCCTGCCCTCTGCTGGCGCGTGCTGTGGCATTACAACAACTGCGTCCCTGTCAATCGTGTCAGTGTAATAGATGAAAACGATCGTGTGATTTGGCGCAGTCTGTGACGTCACGTATTGAAAATCATACCGACGGCGATTTCCGAAATACCCTGGTATACCGTAATACCGTCATCACCGCCCAAGCCTAGTCTGATCTGGACATATTTGTTACACCCGCTTGCATTTTGACACGGACGCTTTGGCTCTGCTACCTGCTAACCTACCCTGCTAACGCTGCTCCATCCATCAAATAACCAGCCCCATTCTTTCGTCCTGCCCCTCCCCGTGGCCTGACTCTGGTTCTTTAAACCTCCCGCTCACTGCCGGTCCCACCATCCTGCTGTAAAGGACAGCCTGCAATCTGACCTCCTCATCCTGATTGACGGCTGGCCAACAGATCCACTTTCAGCCGCGCTGGTCTACAACCATAACGCCAGCGCGTGTGCTAACGCTAAGATCCTACCCGCGGGCACTCACGATGTTACGATAACTCTGTCTCCCAACTTTTTAATCCTCATAACTTTTCTGCGCTTCCTCTAAGCATTGTCTGTCTCAAATCGCTCGGGCTTCTACGCCCGACAGAGGTATGTCCATAGAGGTTCCCAAACGGCAGATTTGTTTACTCCAAGTCCGGAAATCATCCATAACATCTATCGTGGTCGACTAACCGCCATGTCCACAACTGTCATCGTCATCCAGAGGCGCACTTTTTACTCCCCAATCATTATACACCCATGCCACTGGGTCCGTTCAATCGCCAGCTGTACCGAAAAGCCTGGAGTGATTCAACGGCCCTCTCCTCAGAGGGGTGGTTTCCAAAAATTCTGGAGTGGATCCGACTGCCTCTGCTAGAGCTGGGCCAATACTGGAGTGGAATCACTCGGCAGGTATTTGGGCCAGGCTCTGAGGCAGAGGGCGGTGGAATCACTCCAGGTATATTGGGCCAGCTCTGAGGGCAGACGGGGCCAGTGGAATCGCAGCTCAAGGAATTTGGCAGCTCTGAAGAAGAGGCCGTTGAAATCACTCCAGGTTTCGTAAACAGGCAGGCTGGGATTTGTACGGACGGGCAGTGGTGGGTGTATAATATGGAGTAAAAAGTGCGCTCTGATACATGACAGTTGTGGGACATGGCGGTTAGTGAACAGCATAGATGTTATGGATTATTTTCCGGACTGGACAGTAAACAAATCTGGCGTTTGGAACCCTAATGGAGCAGTACCTCTGTTCTGCGTACAGAAGGGCCCCCCCGCCCCCCCCCCCCCACCCCCCGCCCGAGCAATTGATGACAGACAAGCGTTAGAGGAAGCGCAGAAAAGTTATTGAGATTAAAAAGTTGGGAGAACAGAGTAGTCGTGAACATCGTAGTGCCGCGGTAGGATGGCTAGCGTTAGGCAGGCAGGCTGCTATGGTGTGTAGACCAGCCGGCGCTGAAAGTGGGGCTGTTGCAGCGTCAGACAGGAGAGAGGTCAGTTGGCAGGCTGTCCCTTTACAGCAGATGGGCAGCCGGCAGGAGCGCGAGGTTTAAAGAACCAGAGTTCAGGCCACGGGGAGGGGCAGGACGAAGAATGCGCTGGTTTATTTGATGGATGGAGCCAGCGTTAGCAGATAGGTGTAGGCAGGGTTACGACGAGCCAAAGGCGTCGCGTCAAATGGCAATCGGGTGTAAGCACAGAACAAATATGTCCACGATGCAAGAACTAGGCTTGGGGCGGTATGACGGTATTAGGTATAGCCAGGGTATTTCGATATCCGTCCGGTTATGATTTTCAAATACCCGTCGACGTCACAGACTGCGCCAATCAGCAGTGCGTTTCATTCTATCAACCTGACACGGACGTTTTGAAGGGAGCGGCATTGGTTGTCAAGGCACAGCACGGCGGCCAGCAGAGGGCAGGGGAGGGCAGTCCGTCTTCCCGCTCTGAGAGCTCAGCCGCACAGACGCGCGAGCTGAGGTAACGATGGCGGGCAGCATTTGCCGCCGCGAACTCCGGACAACTAGTAAAAAAGAAAAATGCCTCTTGCGCCTGTTTGGGACCATTTGGGTTTAACTCGTCGCCAGTGACTCATCCCGCACAACGAGAGACAGAGCGCACTTCTTTGGGATTTTTAAGACGGGAGTGAGTGAGTGTTGACATTTCTATATAATCCTATGCCACCCACTGGTTGATGGTTTTGTAGTCGAGGTCGGGACGGTTTTAAAAACGAAAGCATTGTTACGTGCTAAACATTCACCGCGAGTATCCAATGAATCCAATGGACATTAAGCCGTTTTAACACAATGGCAGGGAATAAATATTGCCAAAACTAGTTAGTGAATATAGCAAACTTTATTCAATAAAGTCAAGTATTTACTCCGGAAAATGTTTATGTATGGATGATAGTTATTGTTAACTAGCTCACAATGGAAACAACGTCGGACATCTACAAACGCGTCTGTATCGCGATCTCAAAATGTGCCATTTGCACAATGTGTCATGTATGCAGCCCTTGTTTTGCACTTGCGCGCACGTCGCGGCACTTTGCGAGCGTCTACCGGCTCGGGCTGCATTTTACACCGAACATATAATATACCGTTCGAAACATCTATTTGCCGCCGAACGCCACCTCGCTCAAGTCGACCCAAGTCATACCGTATACCACGGTATGATGTCAGCAAGGTATGACGGTATGAAAAAAATGATACCGCCCAAGCCTAATCAGAACACAAAAGCCACAGAATAGTTAGAAATCTATAGCAGTAGAAAGTGGTCAGAAACTCTTAGATTAACACAAAGAAAGACGAGGTTTTCGGACAGAGAAGCGGCGAACAGTCAGCGCCAGCGTCCTCTCACGCAGAAGAAAAAGTAAACATGTATTTTCTTGATGTTATTGTTTATTGGTAATGTGAATTTATTTATTGTTATAATTCAATTCAGTTCTTTATGCTTTCATTTTGAAGGCAGCTTTGGGCACTGGGTAATTATGTATATATTGGAGACAGGCGGTGGTGGCATTAGGCCACCAGTATAGGCATATGGTTTTTTACCAGGGTGAAACAAGCGAGTGCAATTATATACAGGCAACCTAAACATTGTATTTTGTTGATATTGGATCATGGAAAGTAATGTATGAAAGGATATTCTTGTCTGGAAGTTTCCGGCGTTACACACAGTAACAAACTAAATCTGAGGCAAACACCTGGGCGTGCGTAAGTGTGTTCAGTTGGAGCAGGAAGTGTGTGTGTGGCGTACCTTTGCCCTGCCACACAGACAGCATGCTGTTCTCGTAGCTGTGGCTGAACGGCCGCTCGGCGACCGGCTCAAAGTCCCGGGTGTAAACTCGCCCGCTCGGCACCGAGTAGCAGCACTGGCACATGCAGGTGTGGTAACGCAAGCGCCCCTCGTCCAGGTAAGGGTGGGAGAGGGCGTCGCTGCCGGAGATACGTTTAGTCTGGAGGTGAAAACACAGAGACTGGTGTATCGCAAAACAGCACAAGCGCCCCTTCGTTTTCCAGGGTTAACGGTGGGAGAAAGGGGCGTCGCTTGCCGGAGATAACGTTTAGGTTCTGGAGGTGAAAAACACAGAGACTGGGTAAAAGAACGCCAAAACACACAGAAAGTCAGTAGACAGAGTGTGGGGACTAACGCGGGGTCGAACACGCGAGCATCCGACAGAAGAGCAGGT